ATAGGTATTATTATTCTTATAGCCTATAATAAGTACCTAGAATATATATTAACCTTTATATATAATAATTATAAATACCTATATTAAATCTAGATATAGTTACTATTAATAGTAAAATACTATAATATTAATAATAGTAATATATTTAATATAGGCTAACTTACTTATAATAGTATCTTATTATTATATAGGGTATATATTACTTAAGGCTTATTTATTTAAAAGCTTTATATTTACTACTATATAACCTTTCTTTTTATTACCTTACCTTTATTAGATAATAAAGATAGGGAATATAAATAGTACTTATATATATATATATTCTAGCTTACCTTTAGTAATAAGATTATTAACTATTATCTAGATAATCTTCTATTCTTTAAGACTTTATAGGTATACCTTATAATAATATAAGAGTATCTCTTCCTAGCCTAGCTTTAGGTATATATATATATATTCCTTTAAGGGTATTATAGTAAAGCCTTTATCTTTAAAAAGTACTATATAGTTTATAACTAGCCTATATAAAGCTATATTTTACTATTATAAGCTATTATAATAGATATTAATACTAGTAGGATATATAATTATATTTATCTTAAGGGCTTCTAGTGCTATAGTAAACTTACTATTTTCTATTTTACTAACTACTACTAGCTTTATTACTAAGTTAGCTTACTATAGTTTAATAGTATATACTTAGGCCTTTAGGTATAGAGGGTATAGCTACCTAAGCCTTATATATTTATATAGTTTTATATACTTTAATAAGTTATTATATACTAGTAAGTAATATATATCTTACTATATTATAATAAAGAAAGCTATAATATTAGGTATTATTTAAGGTTTATATATATATTATACTTATTTAGTATCTTTAGTAGTATTATATTAAATTAATATTAATATAGTCTTTTTTAATACTAAGATAATATATAAGTTAACTTTAACTACTACTATATTATATTATATTTAAGCCTATATACTTATTAGTATACTTATATATTAATAGCTATATAAGATTACTTTATACTATATAATTAATATATCTATTTATAATAGCCTTAATATATCTATACTAAGTAGTATATTAGTTCTTAGCTTAGGTATTATAGTTATATTAATTATTTAATATACTATAGCTAATATACTATCCTATTATATACTAAGAAGATATAGTAGAAAGTATATATACTTTATTACTATATACTAAGCTTATTTTATATTATATAGTTATACTAACTATACCTTTATAAGTAAGGTTAAGTTAGGATAGTTCTTAACTAGCTATCTCTTATTTACTAGTATAGTATTAAAGCTAGTATTAATATATATATTATAGAGTATACCTAGTATATTTAGGTCTAGGTAGACCTAGAAGTATAGGTATAACTAGCTAGAACCTTATAGTACTTAAGTTATTAAGCTATATATAACTATTACTTAAATAATCTATAAAAGTAGTTATAATTTAGAAGATATATTCTAGAAGATATAATATATAGCTAGTTATACTATATTATATTTAATATATATACTTATAAGAGGGTTATTATAAAGAATATTAGAGTAAGTAAAATCTTAATTATTTAAGCTAGTAGTTATATTTAAATAAGCTATATATATATATTTATATAAATTATTACTAGAACTAAAGGCCTAGTTATAAATATAGTATTTAGTTATACCTTATATAGTAGTAATAAAGTAGGTATTAATAGTCTTTTTTAGCTTTTTAGCTAGGGTATATACTACTATAGCTTATAGATTATTAAAATAATCTATTAGGCTATATTCTTCCTTCTTTAATAGTATATCTATAAACTAGTTATCTCCCTAGGTTATACCTTAATTTTCTATTTCCTTATCTTACTAGTATATACCTATTATTTACTATAGCCTACTACCTTAATTATATCTACCTTAGTTATATAGCTAGTATAAAGTATAATATAAAGGGTATATATTATTCTTATACTTACTATAGCTATTATTATTTTTTTTAAAGCTATTTATATTCTATATACTACTACTAGCTTAAGGTAGAATATCTATATTACTATAAAATAGTCTAGAAGGGGTTGCTTATAAGGCCTTCCTTATATCTTATAGTTATTATATATAGCCCTAGCCTTACTATATATACTAAGAGTAGGGATTATTAGCTATTCTAATAGTTATTTAACTACTACTATCTTTACTATTTATTATAAGACTAGCTATAAATATTATATAGCCTAAATAAGTACTATACTACCTAATCTAAATATAGTATATAAGGTATATTATTCTACTTTTACTTTATAAGATTTCTTATTATATCTTATTATTCTTATAATACTATTATAAACTATAAAGTTATAATATTTAATACTAGTAGTAGTAATAGGCTATAGATTATTAGGTTAAGAGAGTTATATACTATTTAAAGCTATACTTACTAGCCTAATTTATAAGCTTATATATCTTTTAATACTTATAAGGTATATATTTTAATACTATAGCTATTATATATATTTATTAAAGTATATTAAGCTTTTATTAAGTCTTTAATAGCTTTTACTATTAACTTCTATTATCTTTTAATAAGACTAGTATAGATATCCTTTATAGATATATTATAAAGTAGTTATTAGTCTACTATAGTAAAGTAGCTATTATATTATTAAGTAGCTTTACTATATAAATAGGTAACCTAAGTATTCTTAACTTACTATTTACTATAGCTAATAATATATTACTTAAGTTAGTTTATAAATATATAAATATAGATAAAGGTTAGATCTTTATTAGCTTTTATAACCTACCTAGTTTCTTATTTATTTTAATATTTAAGGTTAAGATTAAAGAAACTAATATTATTCTTTTAAAGCTTAGTTAGCTTAAGCTTATTAGCTATTACTATTACTATTATAAATACTATTAGTATCTTCTTATAGTAATATACTAAGGTTATTTCTATAATAGTAGCTATCTATACTAAGGCTACTAAGGAGAGTATACTAATATCTTATATAGGTAGTAAGGGGTTACTTAAAGGGGGTATACTTCCTATCTAGCTTACTTAATAATAGCTTATTTATAGATTTTCTATTAAGGTTATTTACTATTTAGTATCTATCTATATATAATAGAATAAGCTAATTTCTTTAAACCTAGTAATAAAATTTAAGAAGGAGGCTAATATTAAGGTTAAATAAGGATAAAAAGGGGTTTAGTTTTATATTAAAAAGGTACCTAGTAGGCTAAATATATATACCTAGCTTCCTTTCTCTTATCCTCTTACTTCCTACCTTTCCTACTCTTCTTACTATATTTATTCTTCTCTTTAATATAGTTTAGGTTTTATTAAAAATAACTCTATATAGGCTTAGTAAATAAACTACTTTATAAAGACTATATAGTTTTTTATAAGTATATATATATTTATATAAGTTCTTTAAGCTTTTAAAATAGTATATACTATACTTAAGTTAAGGGGAGTCTTTTCTTACTTATCTATCTAGTCTTATATATATATAATATAAGCTAGCTAGCTTAAAATATAAGCTAGATAATTTTTATTTATTTCTATATATAATAATTTAATATTAATATACTATTTAGTTTATTAAAGCTAGTATATTTTAGCTAGTATTTAAGTTAACTAGCTTAGCTAGATTTACTTTTATAATACTAGTATTAAGGGGGGATAGATTAAATTAAGGGGGGGGGGGGGGTATTTAGTATATTAGCTATAGCTAATTATAGGTAGGAAAAAAAGAAAAATAAAAATAAATATTATTATTAATAAGAGCTTTAAATTTAATAAATTTTAATAGTCTTTAATAATCCTACTAATATTACTACTATTTTATTAGGTATAAGGGAATTTAGTAAGATGATGATTTATTCTATAGCTACTAAGTAGGTGGCTTATGGCCCTAAGTAGTACTGTGCACGTGACAGCAACGGCCTCTCCTCCGCCTCCAGCCCGTCGGAGTCGGAGTCACAGTACTTTACCACTACCCGCGCCAGGCTGTCTAGCCAAAATGCATTAAATGCTAATCGCGTGCTAATATATGCTCTAGTGGCTCATTTCATCGCGCGCTATGAATCCGATACTGACGTGTATTAGGATGCACAGCGCGTAGACTGCGTGCCACATTCGGCTATGCTCGTCAGGAGAAAGTGAACAAAATCCAGTCTACGTAACCCTAGCCGCTAAGGTGACCATTAAACTCTTTTCTATTGGACCTCGATCCTGGTAGAACATATTCAGTGTTCCTACCAACGTGGTTTCGCAGTAGCAGACCACTTGATTTCCGTGCTTTACCTATTCCACAGTGGGCGAGTGCACCCTAACTCAGGCAGGAACAACCATGATTGGCGTGACACTGCACACACATATTACCCAAGCATAGGAACAAGCAGCATGAAGTTAACACTACTAGGGTATATATAACATAAGAGACATATTCCTTCAAATGCCTTGGTATCTTTCCACGTCAGCTCCACAGCACGGTTGGCGCCGTCAGGTCCTCATACAGTGACACCAGCCAACAACAAATACATGTCTACTGTCGCGTCTGCGAATGAAACAAAGATCACTGTTTTCAGTGCCCAAGACACCAAGAGACATACGACTTCGGGAATCACTGAGGAACAGCTGTCAAAGTTGGCCATCTCAAAGGCGCACAACGCTGGCAGCCTGCGAAGAATCCGGCAGCTAATTGCCTCGCCATCCGAACCATGACCAATTGAGCATGCTGAAAACCAGATATATCAACCCACTGAAGACGATTTTAGTACCTTACAGAAGAATACTGGACAAGGAAATTATTCAGTATCTCACGTTGGATTGTTGTCGCCAACCATGGGGTTGTCGGGGAGAAAGAGGGGATGCGAACGTTGGTCTTGCTATTTCTTTTTTCATGATTTCTAAAAATTGTAAGTAATATTCGGTGAGGGAGCTCCACAATAGTTAATCGACCTTTCTTTTTTCTCTTTTCCCGCAAATGCCTGGCGGACCATATGAAGCTACGTGGTTGGTCTGTATCGGCCGAACGAGGAGTCATCGAAAGCAGGTGGGCCACAAGGCAAACAAAAAACTGGGCTTAGATTGGGCTGAAATGAGGGGAAATCCCGTCGAGAAATAAGGACATGGCACACATATCCGTCCAGTAAGCGGATGTACGAGCCTGCCGCGGTGCTGGAGGCCCTCGGGGGGGGGGGGAGGGGGTGTCTGAACTGAAGGTGTCTCAGCCACTTTTCCCAGAGGCGTGCTGTGCTTTCATAAATTAATTATTATGTGCCAGTTGAATACTCTGGTGTCTAAATTATTACTCATGGCGGCAAGTATCCAACCGGTCCTCCTTCGCTTTGTTCCTGGTGATAAAATCTTCTCAACTTTCAGCAGCGGCCCCCTCGATGTTCTGAGTGCGCAACTCTGGCTTCATCAGGAACCAGTGAAGCTCGAACTCCCCTCAGCGATCTCCTTCTTTTCACGGAATTCCGTTGCCAGTCGCCTAGCAATTGCAAAGAGCAAGCAGGATGGAGAACGCAACGTCGGCCATAATGGACCCTCGCACCGCTACAGCATCAGATATACAAGCGCTTCTGCAACGCTCCGACCTGACCAGCCTGCAGTTAGTTAAGCTTTACATGGAGCGTATAGAGACGTACAATGGCTATCTTCGCGCTGTCATCAGCACTCCCCCGACACATCTGTTGCTCGAGGCAGCAACTAAGCTTGATGATGAACGGGCCCAGGGCAAGGTGCGATCAAGCATGCATGGTATCCCAATTTTGATCAAGGTATGGAACTTGCGTACTAAGGTGACCTTCTATATCATACTAAATTTGGAGAAAACAGGATAATATTACCACACACCCCGACATGGGAATGGATACCACAGCAGGCAGTTTTGCATTGGCCGGCTCCCGGCCGAAAAAAAGTGCAGAGCTTGTTGAAAGGGTAAGTCATTTTTTCTCTTCCTATATTTTTATAGCCAGCAACTTGGAGCTAATAATATATAGCTAATTGAGGCTGGTGCTATTATTCTTGGTAAAGCCAATCTTTCGGTACGAATCTGATCGACTAAATAAGGGCCGATAATATCTAATGTTAATTTCTTAGGAATTAAGCTACTTCAAGTAAGTCCGATACTCATCTTCCTCATTTTCTCTGAATTTTCGCTAATAATGTCACAGGGGTGAAGACCAGATATGTGGTTGGTCTGCTGTTGGAGGTCAGAGCCAATCTGCGTATGCTCGGGGCGGCATACAGGAAGATGACACTCCTGGTGGACACAGCGTAAGTTGGCAGCGCTTCACTAGAAATTCCTGTGCTAAACTTCTCATCCTTCAGAACCCGGGAGGCTCATCATCGGGTCCTGCCATTGCTGTCAGTGCAGGTCTAGCGCCAGTTTCGATCGGAACCGAGACGGCAGCGTCACTCATCTCCCCGGCATCCAAGGCAGCTCTTTACACAATCAAGCCAACAGTCAACCTCATATCTCAGCAAGGCATTGTCCTCATTTCATCACTCGCCGACTCGGCAGGTCCGATGACAAAGAGCGTTCTAGATCTCGCAAACCTCATGGACATACTCGTCGATCCAGCCAAGACGTCAATTCCCGATGGCGGATATAAAAGCGTCTTGACCAACACCTGGGCAGACCTGAAAGTTGGAGTGCTTGATCCTGCCAAATGGGGATCGTCGGATTCCTGGACAAAACCGGACGCTGGGGCTACGAAACAGATGGTATGACTCACCACCTGTGATGCATCCAGCGACATATTTCTAAACTACTTTACAGAGCGAGGCATTTGACTCCGCATATGCTCTAATCCAGAGCCAGGCGAAGTCTTTCCACAAGTTTGTTCCCTTGGTCCTTCCAGATGCGCTCAGCATAGATGGAGAGCTCGCCCACAGAAAGCTTTTCAGTGAGTGTTTTCTTACACTACAGGCAGTGGTACACAATCTTCAACACCCTTACTAAACATGTCTAGCCGGCCATTTTAAGAAGGATTTTGAAGCCTATCTCAAGAGTTTGGACTTTTCGCATATTAAAAGCCTCGAAGAGTTGGTCCAGTACAACCGAGACCACGCCGAAAGAGAACTTCCACCGCGTAAATAAGTTCCTGCGAAATTTACAATCACTTCTAACCATTTCTAGGCTATCCGTTGCAAGATCGGCTTGAAAAAGCTCTTGCGGATAAATCTACCGCCGAGGAGCTAGAAGAAGCTCTGCTGCTCGCTAGAAAGGTCGCAAGGGACGAGGGCATCGACAAAATATTGAGAGAGTACGATCTTGATGTCATTATTGGCCCGGCAGAGAGTCCCATGCCCACCATCGCTTGCGCAAGCGGTGAGTACGCTCCTATTACGACTCTTTCACTAAGTTGGAAATTTTGCTAACAATGGCTTCGTGAAGGCTATCCAATCGCGAGCCTGCCACTTGGCTATCTCGATTTCAATGGTCGCCCATTTGGAATGGCGGCAGTAGCGTCAGGGCATCAGGAAGCTGTGTTGATCAAGGTCCAAAGCGCGTGGGAGGCAACATTTCCGCCGAGACAACCGCCGCCTTATGCTGTGTTCGCGCCTGGATCTGCCGGACATGCTACCCTCTAGTTAGTAAACGAGTAATCCAAGCGCTAGAGAAGTCCTGGGGTAGTACTAGTTCTAGGATACGGGGAAGGCACTGAGGGTAGGGAAATGATTGAAAGATTATTTGTACACTGTGTTGTTCTGGGTCTACTCTGTCCACCGCTCTACCTGGGGTCTTAGGCAACTCTCTCCTTTAATAAATTCTTTATTAGTAGGGCTATTAGTACCCCATATAAGCCATTACCTTACACTTAATAAGCTTATAAAACCCCCCTTTTACTAGCTATATAGGCTAATACTATATATACTATTAGTCTTATAACTAATAAAGCCTATCCCCTTTTAAATAATTAAATATTTAACTTTTTAGCTAAGCTAAAAAGACCTTAATTCCTTTAAAAAAGAATATAGCCTAACCTCTAATAAGAAAGTATAATTTAAAAATAACCTTTAAAGATAAAGAGATTAAGATAATAATAATAATAATAAACTTATAGTTAACCTTATTTTTATTAACTTTATTACCTACTTTATAATACTAATAAAAGTAGCTTTTAATTAGGCTTTTTATATTTAATAATTTCTTTTTAAAGTTAATAAGGTTTTTATTATTACCTTAAATATTACTTTAAAATAATTTAATAAGTAAAAAAATACTAAAGTAATCTAATAATATTAAGATATTATAAGAATTACTATTAAAAAGGTTATTAACCCTTTAAAGAATAATAAACCTATACTTTTTATAGGTTAGGTCTAAGCCTAAAATCCCTTAATATCTTATAAAGATACTATAACTAAAAGTACCTTAAAATTACTAAAGGCTAGCTAAGGCTATAGATATAGCTAATAGTAATAATAATAATAATAATAATAAAGATTTAAAAGCTTACTAATAAATATTCTAAAGATTAGAAAAAGATAGATAAAGGTATAAAATAGACTTTAAAGACTTTATTAATTAAATAAATAAATCTTTATTTAAATCCTAAATAATACTAAATTAAGAAATATTAACCTTTATTATAGTTATTAAAAGATTATAAAAGTTTATTAAATTAAGATTAAAGGTATTAACTAAATATCTTAAATTCTTTTTAGAATTACTATTACTTTTAAAAATTAATAAATTAATATAATTATACTTAATTATAATTTTTAATTATCTTAACTATTTAATATAATTTATATTAAAAAATCTAAATTTTAAATTATATATATACTTTATAATATTTTTAGCTTAATTATAAACTAAATTAATATCTTTATTAATACTAGCTTCTTTATTAAAAATACTATTAAGATTATAATAAGAATTACCTTAAAGCTTTAATATACTACCTAGGTAATAAAGAAGTAAAACTACTAAATAATTATTATTAAGTTTATTATAAAGGTAATACTCTTCTAAATCTTTAATAATAAACCTATAAGGCTATTAAAGCCTATTATCTAACTAAACCTTTATAAGATATATTAATAGTAATATAACTTAAAAGTCTATTAAGCCTATAAGAAATACTTTAACTATAATAAAGATAGTTATAAAAGCTATTAATATAATAATAGACTTTAGTATATTAACTACTATAGTCTTTACTTTATAAGTAATAAAGACTATTTAGCTAAACCTAGAATTAATAAGAATAGAAAGCTTAAAAAGCTAATTAAAAACTAATTAAAGACTATTAAATAAAAAGGCTTTTTAATATATAAGGTAATACTTCTATATAACTTAATCTAGTTATAAATAGCCTAATAAGCCTTAATAGCCTAAATAACCTAGTTTTTAAATATAATAAATATAAATAACTTTATATTTAATAATAAGGTAGACTATAATATAGGTAATAACTCTATAGAATAAACTATAGATACTATTACCTTTAGGAAGCTAATATAATATATAGGTAATAAAGAAAGGGCTAGTATAAGGTACTTTAATAGTATAGCCTTAGTTAGTAAAGAAAGCCTATTAATTAATTAGGATATAAAGATATTAATTAAAACTAAGAATTCTTCTCCTTCTTTATAACTATTTAAAAAAGTAAATAAAGCTAATTAATTATAACTAAAGCTAAAAAACCTTTAATATAATAAAATAACTATTAATTATCTTTTAAGTTAATATTATTAAAACTATAAGTATATATAACTATTAGCTATTATTAAAAAAAAAATATTAATATTATAATACTTTAAAAGCTATAGTTTTTAAATTCTTATAAAACTATAATATATTAAAACTATATTTATATTATCTTAATTTAATACTAACTATATAAAGATAGTATTAATTATTAACTAAAAGTATTTATATATATCTTTAAGTTACTTTAATAATCTAAAGTCTAGTAGATAACTAATATTCTTTATAAGGATATTATTAATATTACTATTATAGAATATTACTTTTTAAATATATATAAAGATAATAATAAATTATATATTATTAATATATTATAAGACTAAAAACCTTTAAAGAAGTTATTTATTATAAAGGACTTTAATATATATTATTATAAATAATAACTAAGTATAATAACTAGCTAGGGAGTAATAAACCTTATTAATTAAATCTTTAAATAAAACCTATAAATATTTAATATAAATAGTATACTTATTTATAAAATTAATAATATATTAAACCTTATAATCTTAAATATTACCTTAGCCTATATAAATATTACTCTTTAGCTATATATATTATTAGATTATAAAACTTTAATAATAATAATATTTAATATAAAGTATTTAAAAAAGCTAGCTAATAGGCTATAATTAAAAGAAAAGTAAATCTTAAGATTTATAAAGTATCTTAATAAATATAAATAGCTAATCTAGAAAGAAAGTAAAATACTAAAGAAATTAAAAAACCTAATAATAAACCTAATTATAATACTTAATATAATACTAAAAGTATATAATAAAATACCTATATAATTAAAGAAAGGAGTATTATAATAAAGTAAAGAATATAAATAGTTATATTAATAAATAGTAATTAAAATATAATAAGGTATAATAAATATAAAAAAAATAAAAAAAGAATTCTATTAAATAATATAAAAAGCTAAGTCTAACTTTAATAGAAAACTAATAAATAGTATTAATTTAAATAAAGCCTTATATAAAATAATAAACTAATATAACCTAACCTTATAATTCTAGACTTTATTAATTAAGTATAAAGGTAGGATATATATAAAACCTAAAGAAAAAGCTAAATACCTTAAGAAAGCCTTACTTAAGAGAAGAATCTAAAGAGAAGACTTACTAGAAGATATTCTAACTATCCTAAAGAAGCTAATACCCTAGCCTATAGGATTCTTAATAAAGGAGATTTAGAATACCTTTATTTTAATAGAAAATATATCTTTAAAAGTAAATAAAATTACTATAAAGCTACTTTATATAGTATAGCTAGTCTTAAAGAAATAGATATATAAGCTTTATTAAAAGTACTTAATAGTTAAATACTACCTTAAAATCTTTAAATAAGCTAATATAATAATAATATTAAAGCTAAATAAAGATAATAAACTAATAAAAGACTAATACTTAATATCTTTTTTATCCTACTTAGGTAAAAATATAAAGTAATTAATTATATAAAGAATTACCTAGGTAGTTATATAATATAATATATTACTTTTAATAATAGCTAAGGCCTTTTTAAAAAGATTATTAATAGATATAGTTAAAATACTAATATATAATATTAAGCTAATAATAGCTATTAAAAAAGATATTATTTTCTATACCTTTAATATTTAAAAGGCTTTTAATATAGTATAATACCTTTAGCTTTTACTTATTATAACCTATTAAAGGTAATATTAAAGTATCTTAAATTAGATAAGGTCTTTCTTATAAAGATAAATAGTAAGAATCTAGATAGAAGACTATTAAAGTAAATTTACTAAGTTAGAGTATAGACTTCTTTAAGGCTTACTAATATTACTTATCTTATTCTTATTAAGTATAGAATATATATATAATAAAGTATATAAATATAGTTATATAGATAATAATAATATACTTTTAACTAGCTAAGACTATATTAAGCTTATTATTAAAGTATAATAAATACTAAACTAGATAATTATAATAGTAAAAAATAATAATATAATATTAAACCTATTAAAAATAAAAGCTATTTTTTTCTTATATAAGTAAAAGATATATATAGATACTTTATATTATAGTAACTATAAAGTACCTATTAAGAATAAAATAAAGTAATTAGGTATATACCTAGACTCTTTTTTAAACTTTAAAAACTATATTAAAAACTATATAATAAAAATAAAGATACTTATATAGTATATTAAAGGCCTTAACTAAGTACTTTAAGGTATTACCTCTATCTTTATTAAATAGGTTATTTATATAATAGTTATTTTAAAACTTCTCTTTAAAGTAGAACTTTAATATATAAGTAGTATAAAGCCTTTTTATAAAAAGAACTATAATAGTACCTTTAACCCTATTTAAATTAGGATATTAAAATAAATAAATAAGATATAGAAGTACCTAACTATAGTAATTTAAAACTATATCCTAATATAATAGACTATACTAGTAATAATACTTTAATATAAAGTAAGTATACTTTTAATATAATTACTTTTAAATAAAATAAAAGATTACTATATATTATAACTTAAGTTACTTAATAAAAAATACTTACTAGTATATAAGATTAAAGGATTTAAAAAAAGGAATTAAGTAATAAGCTTAAAATAATAATAAAGGCTAATAATAGCTATAATAACTTATAAAAGTATTTTAGTTTTTAAAAGACTATTATTATAACTATTAATATACCTCTTAAAAGATACTTACTAAGATAAGATTATAATAATTAAAGATTTCTAATAATAGTTATAAATAAAAATAAACTAATACCTTACTATCTTTTTAAATAAGTTAATAAATAAGAATAATAATATAAAGATAAGATATACCCTTTTTTAAAGGTTTAAACTTATATACTAAGGAAAAAGACTAATTCTTTTAAATAAAGTCTTTAATATAAAAGTAAAAAGTATAAAATATAGACTTTAAATAGCTATTTAATATATTATACTATAAATAAATAAGATAGTAGTTTATCTAGATAATATAGTAGTAATTATAAGCCTAAAAGAAGGTATTTTAATATCTTCTTATAGCTTATTAATAAAGTTCTAAAAATTAGCCTAAATAGCTAATACCTTAATATATATATAATAGGTACTAAGGTACTATAAAATACTAAGTAATAAGATTATTAACTATCTAACTAAAGAAGGTTTAGCTATAAGACCTTTAATAAATAATTATACCTTAATATATAACTATATAAAAAAAACCTTTATTAATATAACTATTAAGTAATTTAATATTTAATAATAAGCTAATTAACCTAATAAGTATTATTTACTTAACCTTTTAATAAAAGATACTTTAAATCTAAAGCTAAAGGTATTAACCTACCTTAAACTTTATTACCTCTTTATAGCCTAAATAGGCTATAAAGATTTTACTCTTTATTATAAACACTTTTATTATATTAATATTATACTTATATATAATTATAATAAAAAAAAGACTTTAAAGTATATCTTTTATTATAAAAAAATATAAAAAAAGATAATACTTTTATAATTTAACTAATATAGCTATATTAATAAAACTATTAATATTAGTTAGCTAGAGTATATAAAGCTTACTAAAGATAGCTTATTTTTTAGTAAGATATATTTAAAGTAGCCTTACTATACTCCTTCTTAATCTTTCTTACCTTTAAATATATTACTAGCCCTTAAGTAGCTTTTTATTAACTTTATAATTAACTAGTAAAAGCCTTATAAGACTTATTAGATAGGCTTATAATCTTTTATTTATTATTTTATATTTTAGTTTATTTTTATAAGGTCCTTATAGGCGTTATTTGCCCTTTTTAGGGATAGTATAACATAAAACAGTAATACATATATACATACATACCTAGGGTCTTGGGCAGAGCTTCCTCTTCTCTACATAGAATGTCCAAGTATGTGAGCATAGTGGCACATGTAGCACCTGTGAACAAAATCCTGTTGGGCGACATAACGGCTCAAGCTGTCTCCATTGTGGCAAGCATGGGCTGCGTACATGACCACTACGCGCACCCCCGAACAAAGATGCGGCTGCCTGCATGCATAATGTTGATGTGTCAGTGGAGCCCGCACTGAGGCACTGATCCTGGCAATTGTGCTCCTAAGCCGGAGCGCCACAGGCCTGATATCATTCGAGTCCTCGCCCAGGTTCTAACGTGGGATCGGACGAAGGACCAACTGGCTGCAAAAGGAAGCGAAATCTCAACAGACCACGTCGCAATCCCCCCATTTGTTACGAGTTGAATCATCAAAGTACACCATGCCGACTAAGTTTCCATTGTACGTACAATATCTCATTCGGCAGCCAAATTAATACACCTTCTCATATGTTCAGAGAACCAACCACGCCCGAGGATGTGGCCAAGCTTCCTTGCATCATGCACCCACCGAGGCTCCGTCGCTTCTTCGGCAGGGACGACGTGCTCGCCAAGATTGGCGAGCATCTCGGCCAGGCTGATGCCGAGCCGGACGACTCTTTGCGCTCCCTTGCCCTGCACGGACTTGCCGGTGTGGGCAAGAGTTCGATCGCGCTTCAATATGCCGAGTTGCTACTCCAGAAAGGGGCTCTGGACGCCATGTTTTGGGTCCACGGAGAGAAGCCGGTCACAATGAGCCAAAGCTTTACAGACATCGCGGTCCGGCTCGAGCTTCCTGATGCGAGCGTCAAGGATCATGACGACAACCGCGCCCTTGTGCTAGACTGGCTCCGACAAACAAGTGAGCCGCAAGACCCCATTCCCTCTGTAAATCTTGAAGCTAATACATGATGTCAATTCTAACAGAATGCCGCTGGTTGATTGTATATGACAATGTGGAATCTGCGGACCTTCTTCTCAAGTACTGGCCAACAGCGAGCCGTGGTCAGGTCCTCATCACCAGTCGCCACAGCTCTTTCGCCACTAACCCGGCCGGTAGCGGCCTGGAAGTCGGAGCGTGGGATTCGGAAACAGCATCAAGGTTCCTGCTACATCTTTTGTCGACAGACATTGCCGCAGGACTTACACTGGGTGAGGCCCAATCCGCCGACGAAGTTGCGGAGAAGCTGGATGGACATGCCTTGGCTATTTCCCATATGGCTGGCCTGCTTCACAAGCACGATTGGTCTATTGCCGAGTGCATGTCGTTGTATAATGAGCAACAAGCCAGCATCCAAGGCGTATCGGGAATCAGCTCCCTCAATGCTCTTTTCAACTTGTCCTTTAGGTCGCTGGACCAGGATAGCTTATCTTTGCTAGGAATTCTGTCGTTTCTCTCGCCAGATGGTATCCCCGAATCACTTTTCGACGTTCAGTCCATCGCTGATCTGCCCGAGTCACTCAATTTCTGTGCTGACCAATCGAGGTATGTCGTTGCAGCACAATGGCTGTCGCTATAATCCTCCACTTACATAACTTGTATGCAGTTTCTTCAAGGTAAGAGGAAACCTCGTTGCCATTGCGCTGGTCTCGAGGGACAAAGAAACGCAGACCTTGTCTATTCACCGCCTCGTTCAGACGGCCTTTAGGTACTTCCTGTCGCCAGAAATGAGACAAAAGGCCTTTGATGATGCCGCAGTGCTCATATCGCATGCGTTTCCTCGGCGTGACACGGCCTCGGCACAGATGTATCTTGTGTGGAACAAGTGTGCAGCACTTCTGCAGCATGTCCTTAGTCTCAAGGACTGTTTCCGCAAAGAAATGGAGGAACACGGTGATTTTAAAGCCACTCAGATATACTGCGAACTCAGTAATGCGTGTCAGCGGTGCGTTTATAGAGCGGAGGCTTTTACCGAGAGCGGGAGCTAACCTTTGTTGCAGCTACCTGATTGAGATCAATGCATACTCGGAGTTGGAGGACCTCATCAACGTCAACACAATGGCACTTGAGACCCTCTCAGTTGAGGATCGGACTGTCAATTTGCAAGGATCGCTCACGTCCCACAAGGGGCAGCTGCTGGTTCGTTTGGGCAAGCCCCTTGAAGGTGTGGAGTGGCTCCGGAAATCATACAATATTAGATCTCAGGCAGTGCCTTTTGACCCGCGGGAGTCATCTTGGGCAGCGGAGAACGCGGCGAATGCAATTGCGACGGTCAATGAGTTTGCGGAAGCCATACGATGGCAAGAATCCGCCCGTGACCATTGGTTGGAGTGGTCTGAGCAAAATGGAGAGCCAGGGGCGTGGCCTGCCGTTTTGAAAAAGAGCATGGGCACAACTCTTATTTGGGCAAACCAGCGTGAGCGCGCCCGAGATGTCCTATCCCAAGCCATTGCTCAGATTGAAGCCGCCGAGCCGTACAACTGGGCCATGGCAGCATAGTAAGGCTCTTCCTTTCCTCACCTCTGCACTGATGAACCTTGATGGCATATGCTGATGGAGACACGCAGTACACACTTTGCCCTCGGTACACTTGACCGCCATGATGGTCATTTCGGAGCCGCCGAGGCCCATTTCATGGAAGCCCAGAACTTGTGGACCAAGGGAGACCAACTGAGAACAGATCCGTTCAATGCTGCATGCATGTATAGGATGGGCTGCACGGCTCTCGATCAGGGAAAGCTTGAGGCTGCGATCAAACATCTCCGAGATGCGAAAGTCGTCACTGAAAAGCGCAAGACTACGATGATGGCGGAGCACGCAAGGTGCATGTTCAAACTGTCCGAGGCGCTGTGTCAGGAGCCCAGGGACGAAGCAGAGGCCCTTCAGCTACGGGATGAATCCGAGCGGCTTTTGCGTATTCGTGATCCTACGGCCCAGGATCCAGGTCTTGAGAAGACCTATGATGATCTGGTGAATATTCTTTGGCGCTGAATGGAGCCTTTGTTTGCTAGTCGACGGCGGAACTTGGCGAAGAATCAGACGGTAGGAAGAATCAGACGGTAGGAAAAATAAATTTGAGTGGAAACAATCGTCACAAGAGAAAATCGAATAAAATCGTAAAATCGTCCCGAGGATTGAATTGGCGGACAGGGCTGAGGCAAGGACCCGCGCGTGGTAGGCGGCCGACGATCGGATGTGCTTGAGGATCGGAACAAGGCCAGCTACAGCACCGTCTCTGCCACGCATTACGAGCACAAAGAGAGGCCGAATGCTAGCAGAGTCAGAGCGGCCCATTGACGATTGTTGATGAATTTGTAGATTGACAGTAGACGGCGGATATTGGGGGTTAATACTACGGATACCGGCTCGTCGCTACCAGTCGTCAGTTCTCACTGTAGTTACTGATGCTTGCATTCTTGCAGCATGCTGGCCCGCAAACCCGCCAAAGTCCTTTCACACTCTGTTTCACTAGTTACGACCCCCGGCTGGGTCGTCCCCCTCTCTTCGGCAGTCCAGCGTCGCCGCCACAGTGTCAAACCCCCCTTTTTAGAACGGTGCAGCGTTCCGGCTGGAACTGCGCCGCCTTGGGAAGAACGAACAGAGAGAAATGCACGCGGGGTACCTGGCTCAGCCCGCCATTTCGTATGGGCCGACTAGGTTACTTTTCGTCGAGATCACGGGACCATGCTGGCACCATGGGCCGGCAGCGACGGTTCTGATTGGTGGGGGAGGGGAGCTTGGGAGCTCCGGCGTGGCCACAAGCCTGAGCCCCGCCCATTTGTCTTTTCGGTGCGCTTTCAACGGCTTACAAATGCACTTTTTTGCTGGTAAATTCCATCCGGGACCCGCGCTGGGGGATCCGATTGACTCAGTGGACGGTGAACCGGCCGCAGCATTGAGACGCAACGTCTGTGATACCCACTGGCTTGCCTTGCTTGCAACCAGCCAGCCTCCTCTTCTTCGCCCCAGCCAAGACGACGAGCGACTCAAAGCCTTACGCCGCCTAGCCCCGAAACTCGCCCTCGTTCAACTGCACAGTGCATCATTTTTTTTTGGCCCTGTCCTGATCTGGATCCTTGACTAGTTATATATTTTTTCCCCTACTTGCTGCTGGTGGTCAGGTCGGTCCCTACCGTGACTGACGCAAGTGGGTCAACGTCCATTTGATTCCTCACCCAGAAACCGCTAGAACTGCTGTCTTCTTTGCCTCCCACATCTACCGACGCCCACCACATAGCCCTTTTTTTGGATTATCGACGCATATTTTTCCTCGTTGCGCCCATTCATTGTGCCCTCGATTTCACCAGTCCGCTACCGTCCTTGATCTTAGAGTTGGGCGCCGTCAAGGCGAGACCCCAACTTCCGTCTTCAGTGGCAAATCGCTGCAAACACCACCACAATTCTTATCTTGCTGCCTCTGCCCACCACTGCCCCGCTTCACCACAAGTCATCACCAGGGCGTCGCCTCTTTGACCGATCTTCTCCAACAGCCCAGACCGACTGAATACTCTGTTGCTGGCTTGGTCTCAATTCTGTGAACCATATACAATACTTGCTATACTTAAAGTCATACCCCGCGCGGCTCCCACCCTTCCCTGACAATGTCCGCAAACACCAATGAACATTCCGGCGACGGCTTCTTCTTAACTCCGCATCAGCAAGGTCTGCTATTTGCTGCCCTCAACACGAACAAACAGCAGGCGCTTACTAGCTCTGCCGCGCCGAACCCAGTCTCCCTCTCTCCCAGCTCCTTCAAGCACTCCCCCAGCAATGGTGCCCCCGTCGCCGGAGGCTACCAGGAGAGTCCCTTCATCGACAACTATGAATACGAGTTTGGAGATTCCAGCTTCGACTTTTCTTTTGCCGGAAACGACCAGGCTGCCATGATTGGCGACATGCCGTCTACCTCTGATAAATCCGATACCCCCGAAGATGACTTGCACGAGAAGCGCAGCTATCCCGACGACGATGACGATGACGGTCTAGAGAATGACGCGAAAAGGCGTGAGGCCGGTGAAAAGATTCCAAAGAAGCCCGGCCGAAAGCCGCTGACCTCGGAGCCTACTTCCGTAAATCAACCCTTTTCCCACATGCCCCTGTTCTCTAATACTAATGCACATGCTAGAAACGCAAGGCGCAGAACCGTGCCGCACAGAGAGCATTCCGCGAGAGAAAGGAGAAGCACCTCAAAGACCTCGAAATCAAGGTTGAGGAGTTGGAAAAGGCATCTGAAGCTACCAACCATGAAAACAGCAGGCTTCGAGCCCAGGTTGACCGCATGAACACTGAGCTCAAGCAGTACAAGCAAAAGATGTCCATGCTTGCTCAACCCAAGCCTTCACTGCAGAGCGTTCCTTTCCCTGGTGCTGGTGTCAACGGTATCAACGACGTCAACTTCCAGTTTGAATTCCCCAAGTTTGGAGCCCTTCCCGGCCCGCCCCTCAGCAAGCCGGCCCAGAGATCCGTGTCCCAACCCCTCAGCCCCCAAAATGGCACCCAGGTGTCTAGCCCCGCCGTCAGCATGAGCAGCGACATCAAGTCTCCTCGGCAGTCGGCCGCTCAGTTCAAGGAAGACTTGGCCAAATTTTCCAACATCTTCTCACCTTCGATGAGCAGCTCCGCCGGCAATGGCTCACGCGCCAGCGTTGACTCGGCCAACTATAGCTTCCCGGGGGCCACGAGCTCGCCGTCTGCCTCGTCCAACTCCAATGTTGGGCCCAGCTCCTCCTGTGGCACCTCACCTGAACCCTTTACACAGTCTCCTATGGGCTTCAAGCCAGTCGATGCTCTCAGCACAATTGGCGAGGAGCAGCTGCCCATAAATAACTCGGAGCAGGCGTTCACTGACTTTGCCAATGCGGACTTTGGCACCAACAGTCTGGACTGGCTTGCGCAACAGAACGGCGGCCAGTTTGATCCCCAGCTTTTCAATGACTACAGAGAGCCGCAGCAAAATATCATGTCCAACCCATCTTTTGACGACTTCTTCAACGATTCATTTGATGCCGACTTCCTCACGCCTTTCAACGCTGCTACCAACGCCAACCTGCCCAAGAAGAATAATCTCATTGCTGAGATTGACGCGAAGCAGAACGAAGATGACGTCCCGGTCGGTGGCAAGAATAGACGAGCACACGAGATCTGGTATGTCCAGTCTTACAATCGGCCGCAATTCGACACATATTCTAACCCGTTGTGCAGGGAAAAGTTGCAGGAATGCCCCAAAGCCCAGAGCGGCGATTTTGACCTCGATGGTCTATGTAGCGAGCTCACCAAGAAGGCCAAGTGCTCCGGTAGCGGCCCCGTTGTCGGTGAGGTCGACTTTGACACCATCCTCAAAAAGTACATGGGCAAGGATGTCGCCTCTGAGTGTGTCGCCGACAAGCTCGGCATCGAAGTGGACAGGAGCAAGACGACCAAGAAATAAGATAGGCGGCGTTGCTGACGCCCTGTACAAGGTCGTTTTGCTAGTATGTTTACGAGTGCGGGACACAAACTATCGGGATATCCAGGGTGTATTCTAACGAGGAGTTGGGCAACAATGGTTTTTTTTTTCGCGGCACGCAGCAATTTCGCCAATCAAGGATGCTTTTTTACACGGCGTTTTTATGCGCAGGGGCTTTGCTCTCCGAGAGCAGAGGATGCAAAGGGGGACGGCGACTCTTTGTTCCAACAATGTCAGCGGAAATCGCCCTGTCTCCAGGCGACACTGGCTTGTTTCAATACCGGTTTTCAATACTGGGGCAAATGACAAGCCGTAGTTATAGATGAAGAAGAGGAAAAGGAGAGGAAAAAGAGGAGATGATTATCATAGGCTTGCCTTTTCTCAGTGTTGTTGGCGTTGGCTATTATCTGCTTTGCATTTACAAATCTATACGTTTATGTCTTTCGGCTCGAGGTGCGAGGCTCGGACTGTTTTGATCCGTTTTTCTTTCTTGTTGTGCAGGTTCCTCAAGGCATTGTTTCTATGTCTGCGGAGTCCTTTGTAACTATCTTTGACAGAACAACTACTTGTATACGGAACCGAATAACACTCCTTTGAATACAAGCCTGATTTTGTGCATCGTTGATGTGAGTTGCTTGATTCCCTGGAATGCGACAACGCTTCTTAGGGCTGTCCAGTATAGCAGCATTGGACGGACGACTTCACTTTTGCGCCATGGACTAGGTAGCGACCAAGATCATGGTGAGATAACGTTATATATGTATCTGTCAGAAACAGTACAACCGAATAAAATCTGTCAGAAACAGTACAACCGAATAAAAGAACAAGGCTCGTCTGGCTATACACTCGAATTTAAGCCAAGAAATCGCACCCAATCGCATCAAATCGCAATGCTATGTAGAATATATGAAGAGGAGAATAACAAAGGATACCAGTCTTCTTGCGCTGAGTACATGGCATGTACAGGCAACAAGTACCAATCAATCAATAAAATCAGGCAAGAGAAACAAACATGATAGCTGTGCCGAGGTTGTGTGTCAGGGCAACCTTGTAAGAAATGTGATCGCAGCTTTGACGCTCAAGAGAATTGTCAAGGAAATAGAACCATCCATGTATGTGCTTGGGCGTGATTATTTAAGAAGTGGGCCCTCTATCCGTGGCCCAGGGTATAAAACCAGTACTGAACAGGCGAAAAAGCAGAAAGTCGAAATCCAAAACCAGTCAACTCCAGTATGAAGAGTGGCGTAAAAATAGTCTAGCTGATGACTACGCGAGCGCCCTCTTTCCCTAAAACACCCCGCTCTTTGGGCTTGGGGCTGTGGTTACGACCCTTCTTGCCCTTGAGAAACCCAAACATGCTGCTTGAGCCCTCGTGCTTTGAGACGGCCGCTGTATTGGCATCAATGGGCAATGTCGCGTCTCGACGGGCGAGGTCAGACCAGCTACCACCGCCATCAAGAGTAACTTGAACGCCACCAGTGGGGCTTGTTATCCTGTTGCTATTGGACATGTTCCGCCTAGAAACGTATTCGCTTCGATAGTTGGGAGGCGCTGGGGCGGAGCGGACCGGCTTGGGATAAGTCGCCTCATCACTGACAGATGTTCCGAGGAAGGGCACGTCTCCTGCAGGGGGGGCAGGCACTGCATCATCGGTGGTGATGGCTCTTGGACCGTCACCATGAGCCGGCTGCAGTGGGGGTGGGTGTCTCGGATGTTGAGGGATGCCAGCCTCTTCAGCAGCTTCTGTGTATCTGTAGTCGTTTGTTAGCAGGTCTGGCGCAAAGGCATCGAGGTTGGACTGTTCTTATTACTTCTTGTACGCAGCTATCGTGTAATCAAATGGGCTGAAGTCCGTTTCGATCATACGATAGAGCTCATCCTCTCGGATTTCTTGCTGTGAGGCGTCCTCCTTTAAACGTTCACGTGGCTTTTGTCGTCTCGCTCGCGCCTCCAAAGGGGCTTCCTCTAGCAGTAATTCTTCAAGATCATACGTGGCATCGAAATTCGTCTTCTCAGAGGATGGTATGAATATGGGCTCGATCCGCTTCTGTTCCAGGTGATCAAAGTTGATGTCGCGGAAAAATTCGTGACTAGTGAAATGATCCCAGGTATGGCCGAGACGAGTGTTCGGGTTCGAATCCAGGGCTGAGCCAATGGCATAAAGGCAAGGGAGAGAGACGGGGGGTTGCGTAACGGGATATCTGGGTTGTTGGTATTGAATTTGTTGGCTTAAGGTGGACTCGGAAGTGCCATCGAAAGGACGCTGCATAGGTTAGCCGACTATCCCAGAAAGCAAAGTGTCAATTCGGCCGTACCTTGTTGTAGATGCATTCGTAAAAAAGAACGCCGAGCGACCACCAATCTGCACGGACATCGTAACCCTTACCAGCGTATACCTCGGGCGCGAGATAGGCGAGGGTGCCAGACTTGCTGGTCAAAACTCGTCCTGGAACGACGTCGGACGCAACATTCTTGTACCGGTCAGCACGTGCCACACGTATGGAAAGTAGTGGTTTATAAGCATACAAAATCCGTCAGATGCACATGGCCATCTGCATCCAGAAGAACATTATCCGGCTTGACATCTCGGTGAATGATGTTGTTGGCATGAACATAGCGCAAGGCGCATGCCAATTCCGCAATCCAGAAGCGAACAGCCTCTTCGGTAAATGTTTTTCGGGAAATGTGAAAACGCAGGTCACCGCCGCTCATGAGGTCGACAATCAAATACCTGTAGTTTTGTGAGCCGAGGTATGCCAAGGATAGCGGGGAGAGATACTATGGGGAAAGACGTACATGTATTCAATATCCTGGAAGCTGTAGCGCAAGTTGCAAATGAAAGGATGGTTGACATGCTCAAGCATGCGACGCTCGCGCACGATGTTGCGGACGCTCTCGGACTTGACAACTAGCATAGTACGATGTGGTCAGCAAGACATTGACTCACTGCGGGGCAGGGGTCTGGCAGATAGTTGAGGCCTACCTTCATCTTTGCGAATATACTTCAGGGCAAATGATAGCCCGGTATCCTTTCGCTCAACGATGCGGACTTTGCCAAAGGCACCGCGACCGACGACTCGTAAAAGGCGAAAGTGGTTGAGACTTACTATAGAAGTGTTAGAAGCCTTGGTCAATTGGGAAGATGCAATGGAAACGACGGAGCGACATGTGTGCTTGAAAACAGCGCGAGAGCCGCCGGTGAGGTGAGGAATGTCCTGGAGTGACTCCAGAGGGCAGGTGTAGAGCGAGTGGTAAGAGGTGTGCTGCACGGCACTTCTAGAAGCACGGCAGCGGGAGCGGGAGCATACCTTCGCCGTTGAGGTCGACAGGCTTTCCCTGGCCGTTACCCATAATGAGGGTGACGAGGTGTGCGGAATAAACAGGTAAAGGGTGCTTAGAAGCCAAGAATCATGCTGGAAGGACTCGAAGGATGGCAAGGGAGTTGTATTTAGGCGACGTCGGGGGGCGATGAATGTTGCGTGGAGGACGACTGTCGTTGCGCGGGACGGGGAAGGCCGTTTGCTGTGACACTGAGAGACGGGCTGCAGGCAGGCGAATAATGGACGGAATCGGCGTTGGGTCTTGCAGATTCAATTGTCGTGTAGAGGGGAGGGTCGAGTCTTCGCAGAAGAGGGCGAGCGAGGGAGTCGTCTTGTGGTGACTTTGGCGAGGATGCCAAGATGGAAAGTCGCTGTGTTGCGGGAAGGGAAAGTCGTGCAGCGGCCGGGACTTGGTCAAAGCGGGAACGAGGGTGAGAGAAGAGAGCGAGACAAGTGAGAAGGCGAGCACCTGTTACGGTGGGCCAAAACCGCTAAAATGGTTTTCGTTTTTAGCGGGCACAGCGGGCACAATGGGCGGGGAGGGACCACTGGGGGCCACTGTCGACAGCACTTGGCTTTGCTGGGTCCGGCCCTGACACGGCGCTGCGCAGCGCCTGGAGAACAAGAATATAGTGGACTCTGTAATATGGGCTATGTTCTGTTAGTTCCATGACCGACAACTGATGCAGGAAGACGTGTCTCTCAAAATGTGTTCCGACAGATCTCCTTTATACATTTTCAAAGAACTACCACCCAACCTTGGACGGGAAGAAAATCTGTCAACAAAAGCACCTGTGTCATGCACTGTCCAGACACATGTAGCAATGAAGGTACCTTCATTGCGGGTCACCTCATTTAGCTCCAGCAAACAGGCTCGCGAGAAACCCTGTGCGGCTGCCAGCGGCCAGCCCGTTGAGCAGCAAATCACGAACTTGGGACCCTGGAGCGCGCTGTGCGATGCTTGCACCATTTCAGCCGGCAGCACCAAATAACTGCTGGATAACCAGCCTAATTCTCTTGGGCCTCTAGTCACAACAGCCAGTGCGACGGGGAGAAGCAGATTAACCCTAAGTAATCCTGACCAGCATTACAAGTCGTGTAGGATGTTTCTGTGCACTGCTGAGGTGGATTTGCAGCAATTTCCAGGGCAGCACAAGACTTGCCGAAACGTGCTGCAAAATGCCTGTACCTAGCTGGCCAGGCAAAGGATTCCCACATCCACCACAACGACCCTTTTCTCTCTGGCACACATATCTGCAGCCTGCAACTTCAACCATCACGCATCGGATGTGCATCTCACTTCAGCCACGCCCTGGAGCTGATAGTACTTACTCTCGCTCCCTTGACACCCACAACCTGCAAGCCCGCCTCCAGCATTAGCGAATGTCACCAAGCCACAGGGGGCTTTGGCTCGCTGCTACGCTGCGTCATAGTTGCCACCCAGCACTAATACCACCAGACAAACACCCACAACTGCTTCTGGTCTCCTCTAACTAGTTAGTTAGCATGCATCTCACGATTATGAGCATCACTGCCGACATGGAAACCATCGCTTCCCTACATTCCGGTTCGATGCCTCATCATGATAACCTCGCCACGCCTCCAAACCCTCGCGACAGGCGTGTTGTGCAACGGGCAAGGATTGGCATTATCAATCAGCTACTCAAGTCCTCGTCCATCAACACCTGTTGCACTACTTGATACGGTCGCCTTGCGGCTCTCTTGTGCGTACGGAGCAAATGGGTCCCAATATGCTCCATGGAAATGCGGGCTGGTTGTACTGCTAACGGAGGTTGAGAGGCCGCAGCTGTCCGACAATAGCAAGCTGTTGGCAAGCCCATCATCATGGGCACCATTCTTTTGCCCCGTCATCTAAGACTCCTCTGCTGCATGCTGCCTTGCTTACAGACGTAGCGCCAGGCCCTGTTTGCGACCCGACAGAGGCACAGGCCCTCGAGTTGGTCAACCGATATCCAGTACACCTCGACCCGACGCCTTGAATCACAAGCCTGTCACCGCCTCCGCTAGTTACCCTCGCGCAACTGTTTCAAGTATTAACTTTAACCTTTCTGGTCCAATCCATGCACGTCAAATCCTATTGGACTAGTGCAGGGCAAGCCATGCGGCGTCGCTAGCTAGCGGGCCCGGGGTCGCCGGCCATATCCAACGCTGCAAAGGCCTTTCTACTGGCCAACATCTACTAACATCTCGTCTCTAGATCAGTCAAGACCTGCACTACTAAACCCAACTTTGACAAGAGCCGTCTTGACGGCTCAACTTCCAACGCTCACTTCTTGTTGCGGAGCTGACCGAGGTTTCTGATGAACAGTCCAGCAGCACATTGCCGCGTCGATCAATTTACATCAGCTGCACGATGTGCTCGAAAACTAGACTATCATAACCCGATGTGGCGACTTTCACGTGGTAACTGCGCAAGATACAGTTTCTATCGGAACCAACATCAATCCAAAACCAGGGCTCTGGTCTCATCGTCAGTTTCTGCAATATGTACTCAAGTATCCCAGCCTGGGTGGCTTATGGCCGGCTCTTGCCGCCCGCTATACCCCGGTTGGCCAGGTTTAAGGCGTTAACAATCTATTGACGCTATGATAACTAGTTCGGCTGTCTGCTTGACCGATTGCCACAGTCTACTCAAAATTCAAACCCCTATTATCAGGGTCAACCGAATAACCCCTTGTTAGTCGGGCAACTCTGCGGCAACCACCAGACGCGGATATGGACCTGCAGGCCCATGCTGCAGCCTTGTCCAGAATACGGAGTAGAGGGCGCCACAATGGAACACGATGGTTGTCCAGCTCAAGAATATTCCGTGGCTTCCAGAACAAATGCGCCCGCACTATGACCTAGGTACAGCATCTCATTGGTCTCGAGCATGTGCAAACTGCGGCGGGACGGGTCTGCACCGACAAGTTCGTATAGGTGCGCTGGTTGACTTGAGTTACCAGCTGTCCGTACTTGTCACTGGTAGCCAGCCGAGACCGTATCCCTGCTGAACCACGTGTCGACCTCGATCCCCGTTGCAGCGGAAGACAACACGTTGGAACTTGGCCCACAGCACCCCTGAGCAGAGCAGTGGGTGACACTGGGCAACTGCCTATTACTGCCGTGCCCCGACGGCTGTGATTTGCGCCCTGCCACATAGCCGAAGGGGCCAGACAGCCACTTCGAATATCCGTTCGGTGGAATACAAATAGTATGCAATTACCAATGTGACAGGCATTGGTAATATAACAGACCTATACATAGCTGTTACGAACATGTCGTTACGCCCGCTAATGATATTGTGCTCGGCATAGGTTGCTAAAATGGTTGCCCATGTTCACACTGAGACCTGCACATCCCTAAATGGCCAGAGCGCCTAGCGGCACAATATCTCCATCTGTGTCTTGGCTCTCGGAAGCTGATAATTAATAGGTTCCCGGGCATGTCCTCTTCATTCAGCTCCATGCGATAATGCGACACGAGCATTGGTCAAACGAGCCTGCAGCACTACGATTCTGTCCCGTCGCGCCGTCGCATGATACTAGGTGTGGTTTCTCACTGTCTCTTATCCGCCCGGCGCATGTAGTATGCATATACTTGCATCAGACCGCTGAAATGGTGTACGGAAATGCCATGTCATGACTTGGCCGTCGTCTTCAGCCACGCTCCCAGGCTAACGCCAAAATCAGTACAGTCAGTTAATATTAGCCACCACGGCAGAAATCTGTGAGCTATGCGCGTATCTACCAGAGACGGCCGTCGAAACACACCTTGTCATCTTCCTCTTTCTGGTGCCTTTGACCAAGAATGGGGCTAGTTATGACAAGTAGCCTGTAGGCGGACATCCGCTCCGCCCCAGTCGGTCAGGCCGCCGATCGAGGTTGCGGGCCACAAGCAGGAATTGGAATGACGGGGTTAAGGCTTCTAGAAGCCCCAACTGCGGGCGCGTCCGAGTCCGTATAGACGGGGGCCAATGCTGGCGGCGGTGCCACCGCCCGAAGTAGATTTCCGCAACGCTGAGACAAAGGGGTCTCCGTCTAGGCGCACGTTTTCGGAATTAAGGCCGAAGTAAGCAGGTATCGTCGCGCCAGACCCGGTCAAGGGCAAAGCTATTGGTACTGGTGGTTATCTGCCGCCTTGGACGCACCAGCACTTGAGCTCACTTGGTCCGGAAACTCGCCGCAACGCTCCTCAGTGGGCTCACTTTCAATATTCCCCGGTTCTGCGCTGGATAGGCGGTGGGGAGCCATGCTAGCTTTAATCTGACATGCAATGGCGCTTATGAGCTGTAGGCTTCGCTGGTTGCAAATCAGTTCGATCGGCGCCGTCAACGCCGACAGACAGGGTGCTCGTGCCGTGCCTGCCAGTGTGAGCGCTTGTTTCGATAGCCTGGCTCAATTCTGAGACGGGCTCCTGGCCAGCGTTTCATCCCAAGGACAGGCTTCCGTGCGTTTTCAGGGCCGTACGACACGCAGGCTCAGCTTGGCGCTCTGTTCTGAGTTTGTCATATTATGCTGCCACAAATTACGCCAGCATGGAGCTGTGCGGTCTCGTCTACTGGCTCTCTTCAGACCTGTTTGCTCTTGGTAACATTCTCAGATACAGGATTTTGACTACACCTAGTTCCTTAGGGCGGGCTCGTATGGTCATGTGCTGCATGATGCGCTCACACAGACGAAGTCATCCACTCAAACTACAGGGATACATGCAATCCGCAAGTACGATAGAGCCAAGAGACAGGGAGCTCTGTGCCCATCCAACGCTCGACTGCGCGCACAAGCATCATGGTGTTTTGCACTTGCAGCCATGCTGCTTGCTGGTGAAGTCTGTGGAGCCACCAGACTTGGCACTGCCACAAGGTAATGCATTCGATGTATGTACATGTATTGACTCTGCAGTGAGCTGTTTGTAACAGCATGAATACGCTCTGCTGTTTCAACGTCCTCAAAGCAAGTCGGAGTCGTGGCGTCTTCTCTGCATGGTCGCTATAGTCCGTCATACTGGTGGGTTCTTTGATTCGTCCAATGTCGTAATAGTTGTCGACCTGATGTCGGAGAATTTGATGCAGATTTATGCTGAACCACACCCCGCAGGCTCTCAAAGGAAAGCGGCCTCCGCTTAAATCGGCAGTGTATGTGCATGGGTAGCTGATCAGGCTCATTTTATTTGATGCGATGCGTGCTTTCTTTGAGCGCCGACTTCGGCGTGCTGCCTGCCAACGGCTTTCTTCTAAGACGAGTGTTGCTTCTTGCCAGGTACCACAGACCAGTCTGTTAATTATTTCTGTGTCTTCGGGAGAGGTGACGCCCGCGAGGCGATTCTGGCTCGGTGGTGGTGATTTTTGGTCCAACTCTAAAATAGGAAGCCAGCATGGCCAGCGTTGGATGGAAGCTGGTCACCTACCTTAAAGTGAGAGAATGTGACATGATCTTTACACCGTCTTTTAACATGTAGCCAAGAGCTCATCGCACCAGGCCGGACCATCATGATCGGCTCGCGTGCGTCTCTCAGCGCCACTCAGGCTCCCGTTACGGTTACGGTCCGAAGCAGCTCCAAGCCGGCTAACTAAACAAGTTGCCGCAACGTTTCATTACAGCTGCTGTCGTGGCACACGAGACGAGGCTTGCACCTCCACCCTGCCCGCGCCTTTTGTCCCGATCTGGAGACATGGCGAGGTGAAGATCAAAATAACTAGTACGCCCTTGGCAAACCCGGTTGTCTTGCTCTTGTCGTCTCTAACATAGAAAAACTACAAAGCCCGCCAACAATCAGTTGGCCACCGCCCCGCCCCATACATATAAGCATATTATTAACAGGAGTTGTAAGTCAACAGCCACAATGTCAGACCATAGCCATTTCGCCACATACCCCAGCCTCAAGGACCGCGTCGTCGTCATTACCGGCGGCAGCATGGGTATTGGCGCCTCCATGGTCGAGCACTTTGCTGTGCAGGGCGCGCAGGTCGTCTTCCTCGACATTGACGATGCCGCGGCCGCAGCCACCTCGGCCCGCGTGGCGTCGCTCGGGGTCGCGCACGCGCCCGTCTACCACCACTGCGACGTCGCGGACATTGCCGGCGCGCTGCAGCCGACGGCGGCTGCTATCCTCGCCGCCTTCCCGCGCGTCGACTGCCTGATCAACAGCGCGGCCGCGGCCATGGCGAAGCCGACGGCCGACATCACGCCGGCGTGGTGGGCCCGCGCTGTCGACGTCAACCTCAGCCACCAGTTCTTCCTCACGCAGGCGCTGCTGCCTGGCTTACTGCAGGCGGCGCCGACGGCGGCCGTCGTCAACATGGGCAGCATCACGTGGGCGGTGCCGGCGACGGGCGTCGTGCCGTACACGACGATGAAGGCGGCGGTCGTGGGGCTGACGCGCACGCTGGCGCACGAGCTCGGGCCGCAGGGTATCCGCGTCAATAGCATCATGCCGGGGTCGATCGCGACGGAGAGGGAGCTGCGCGACGTCATGACGCCGGCGTACGAGGCGCGCGTGCTCGGCAGCCAGGCCATCAAGAGGCTGCTCGTGCCCCCGGAGATTGCGCGGACGGCCATGTGGCTGTGCGCCGACGACAGCTCGGGCATGACGAACCAGAGCATCCGCGTTGATGGCGGCTGGACATGAGTACGTATGGCGCGCATGGGCAGTTGGTAGTGTTTGTGAAATGTCATACGGTTGTAAAGCGGCCATGGATACTGTTGTAAGCGGCCATGGCATGCTGGGTAGTGTTTGTGAAATACCATACTGTTGTGTAAAACGGCCATGGCATGCTGGAAAAATCGCAAATCGGGCCCTTCAAAGGAGGTGTAAGCCATTTTTTGGTAGTAAATGATGTGGTGCAATAGTTGGTCTACACGAGCATGTCACGGCCTTTACCTTTGCTAGTACAGGGTAGCTTATCTCTTACTGTCCAGGCATCTCGATGCAATTTACTGTGGCCGTGCGAGAGGCGCGCCTATATATCGACTTTGTGCAATCTGGTCACAGGTGTTGATGCAGCTTCCTACATACTTGGGGTTATCTCGCGCCGATTGCAGATGGCTGTGAGACAGCATGACGTCGTCGCCCGTGTTCTGGTGTTTGCAGGTCCTTTGTACGCTGCGCCATCCATGCTGCGTGCATGCCGCAACTGTACTCTGTAGCGATAAAGAAAGACCCCAACACGGAAAATGGGATCGCCGTCAGCTGCAGACTGGTGGGTGGTCGGGGGGAGATGAGGGCTGAAAATGACGTGGGCAGCGGCGAAAGATCGTGGCGCGGGCTAGAGTGGTGATTGGTCTTTGTGGACATTCAGAACAAAACGCCGGCGGAAATGTTGATGAACTAGGTCCTTCTAGATAACATGGTCTTGACTATATTCGTACACGTGCATTTGTACTATTTCCCACACGGGCTTTCGGTGAGGGGTACAAGGTTCAAAAGGCTCAATGGCAATGAACCCCGCGCAAGCTCCGTCCGGGCCTTGGAGGAGGGCAAGAGGGGCACGGCTGTGCCTGCTATCCGTACATTGCCACTTGCAAACGAGCTAGTCATCCTGTTTATGTTCAAACTACAAGACGTACCCCTTTCCTTGATCAATGTCCCCTTGATCTCTCACCCCTTCTTTGGATGAAGACGCCTCTGCCTCGCCACCCAGTCCCTGTGCCGATCCGACCATCCAACCCGCCGTCCTATCGAAGCACCCACGCCCCGCGCATCCCCCACCAACGTCATCCACCAGCCTTGGTCCCGGCACCTGTTCCGATCCAGCGGCAGCCATCAAGCCACGCCTCCCGGCTCCCTCGTCCTGCGGCTCCTGCTCCCCCTTCCCTCTACACAAGCGGCCCCTACGCAAACACCTATTCCACCATGTCGACAGCTCCTCTCCAGTCCACCGAGGTCGCGACCGGCGACGCCCTCGCCAAGCAGATTGCCGGCATCATCGATGTAGACGTCAAGAACACGACGTCGTCGGCCCAAGCCACGGCGGCTGAAGACACGGCCGACAAGATTGACGCGCTCTTCCAGAAGGCGCTCGCCGCAAACAAGGACGGCGCCGAGGACTTCCTCTACACCCTCTGGGATGTCGTCATCAAGTCGGCCGTGACCATCCCCGCGACCGACCAGCGCCTGCAGCAGCTCGTCAGCGTCATCGAGGCACTCCAGAAGAAGAAGACAGCCGAGGTTGAGATTTGGGATGCCAAGACTTGGGTGTGGAAGGACCTGCCTATGCTTGGTCCCGCGCTGAGAGAAGCATGGAACTGTAAGTGAACACTTGGCCTTGGAGCCCAAGTACACGTGGAGAGACTGACACGACGACAGTCAAGCCCGAGTTGGACGGCAAGGAAGATCACGCGTCGCTCCAGAGATGGATCTCGCTCAACTCGTTTGCCGCGCGCATCCTCGGCCACCGTATCCAGTCGTCCTTCAACCTCGGCCTGTGGGAGCTGCGCGCCGGCCTCGAGGAGAAGCACCCGTCCGAGGCGTCGCGCGACCTGCACCTCAGCACCGCCAGCGAGTGGCTCTGGCACGCCGGCGACGAACTGCACCGCCTGTCGTCCGCCGCCGCGGGCTCCCTCAAGCAGGAGGAGGTGGACTTGACCAAGGCCGGCAGCCTCGTCGAGGCCCCCATCAAGGGCCCGTCCAAGGACCGATGGACGTTTTGGAAGAAGCGCCTCGGCGAGCTGTCGTCGGAGATGTCTTGTGCGGCCAAGGAAGAGGGCCTCAAGGAGAGAGTGGACGGCGTGGTGAAGAAGATGAGCACGATTGAAAAGGGTGGGAAATAAGCAGGTTCCACCGATGTGCGCTGCTTGACAGCATGATTCTTAAAACTCTTATTCCAGTTTATATACATGATTTCATCTATTGAAGCAAGTTCGTCGGAACTATTCTGTAGGGCTTCATGCTTATATGATTTAAAGACCAACTCCGATACTCCCATTCAACATGGTTCCCACATCCCGACTACCACAACTGGCACCGCAACAACCACCACGCGCATATAGTCATCACCCTCCACACTCTACGCATACATCATGTCGCCGTCCTCTTCATCATCATCCACCACCACCGGCACGTCCTTCTTCTTGACCATTTCCTCGCGACACATGGGGCACGTCCCGACGCTGCGCAGCCACGGGCCGACGCACTCGAGGTCGAACCGATGGCGTCCCTGGCACGGCAGCGCAACAACCAGACACCACTCGTCCTCCAGGTACGGGATCTTGCAGATGGCGCAGTCGTCGTCCTCGGCCAGCGTCTTGCGCGGCACCCTGTCCAGGCCGTCGACAAACTCCTGCGAGACGCCGCGGAGCGACGTGGGCGGGTCCTGGATCTCGCCGTCGAGCGTGGTGATGAGCTGCTCGAGAAAGGAGCGGTTGTCGGCCGTCGGCGCCGTCGTGTGCAGCGTCAGCAGCTGGTCCTGCAGCATCCGGAACAGGTCGGCCGTGTCGACGGGCGTCGGCGTGGCGTGCGGGTTGTGCTGCGCGCCCCCGGCTGGCGTCTCCGCCACGCGGTTCAGCAGCGAGAAGAAGGACGCCATGTCCACGCGCCGCCCGCGTCGCGGCTCGGTGAACTGCACGTTGTGCTCGACTGATCAAAGGAGGGGGCGTATGTTAGTTGAAAAGCGGCCGGGGGCGCGCGGGGGAGGGGTAACGGACCTTCGTATTGGGTTGCCATGGTGTGGAAAGGGAGGGCGCGGTGAATGTGATTTGCGAAGAGAAAAAAAGAGTGGTGGAAGAGGTCCGGCGAGGGTAGAAAGAGGAAGAGGGCGAGGAATCAGGCGCCAGTCGCTCTGCGCAATGCAAAAGGTGCGAAGTGGTTGAAGCAGGCAGAGAAGACGGTTACGTCTGCATCCTGCATCCCACTTTGGACTTACCTGCTGCGGGGCGGGACAACCCTGTAGCGGCCTGCCGATTTTAGCGGAAACTCGTGCTAACCCCCCCCCCCCTGCTTCTGAAGCTCCCGAAGCTCCCCCTAAGCTCCAATGATGAAATCCGCTCCGCACTCCGCGCAAACCACTGACCATTTAAGACAACCACAACAACCAACAACTTTTCCTCTTTCCATCGTCTCCAACCCTCCAATCCATCACCACCCGAAACTTTCAAACCAACCACGCATCCTCCATATCCACCATGCCTGCTACCGCCATCATCGGCTCCACCGGGCTTGTCGGCTCCCACATCCTCTCCACCATCCTGGCCAGCGAGTCCTTCACGCCCGTGAGCACCATCACGCGCCGCGCGCCCAAGACGACCTCCCCCGCGCTCAACGCCGTCGTCAGCACAGACACGACGCAGTGGGCGGGCCTCCTGTCGGGCCTCTCGCCGGCGCCCGCGGCCGTCTTCTCCGCGCTGGGCACGACGCGCGCGGCGGCGGGCAGCCTCGCGGCGCAGTGGGCGATTGACCACGACCTCAACGTGGAGCTGGCGCGGGCGGCCAAGGCGGCAGGCGCGCAGACGTTTGTGTTTGTGTCGAGCGGCGGCACCCGCGGGCTGCTGTCGAGCGGGGTGCCGTACAGCCGGATGAAGAACGGCGTCGAGGACGCCGTCCGGGAGCTCGGCTTCGCGCACGCCATCGTCCTCAAGCCCGGCGTCATCCTCGGCGAGCGCGAGCAGCGCCGCACCGCCGAGAGCTGGTTCCAGAGCCTGACGCACGGCCTCGGCCGCGTCAGCACCGCCGCAAAGGACTTCTTGGGCCAGGACGCAGAGGTTATTGCCAGGGCCGCCGTCAGGGCTGCCGAGTTGGCTGCGCAGGGCAAGGCCCCGAGCGAGTACTGGGTCGTCGAGGCGAGTGAGATCCTGAGGCTCGGCAGGACAGAGTGGAAGGAGGCGGAGAAGCCGGCGGCGTAAGGGGACTGACTGCTGTGCGGCGGGAGAAGATTGGCCTGCAAAGGAAGCGAATATAGCTGTATGGGAAACGCGGTAATGGGACGTGGTGGGCAAGTTTTATTTATTTTTTTATCTACGATACCAGAATGCCAACTCTATCTTAATGTTGTACCAGTGTCAAGACTTGTGAAAACCTTCAATTTGGTCATACTTTGTGGGAGGATTGACCAATAAATGAGTAAAACAATAGACCTAAGAGCAAATGTTCCTTATTAGCCGGGAAAAACGCCATGAGAGTGCATGGCTGTGCGAACCGCGCCTTGTAACGACGAATCGGAACCCAAGGCATCCAAATTGACTGCCGAAATGTAATGTACCACCGCTGTTCTTATCATATCTCTAAATTGCCATCTTATATTTTACGCTTCCATATATTGAATCCTATTCATGTCTCATCTTTCTCATATTCTGCATTTCCTTCTTGTCCTTATTCGTTCGTTGCCTGAATAACCCCATGCCAAGTTCATGCGTTGATAGATGCAGGCGCTGTCACTTGGCAGCGCACATAATATACCTCCCCCACCAAGTTAAATTCTCCTCATCAGCATGGTAGCAATCATTTCTTGCGCATATGTGCATGCCCTTATATTCTCCGACAAGTCAACCCTCTCCTGGGTAACCTACCCTGCACCCCACCCACGTTATCAGAAGGGGGGTGGTGACTCAACTTTTTTCGTCCTGTCATCAGCAGCGAAACCGAACCGCCCCGCGCGCAGGCCCGCTGCAGCCTTGCAGCAAGCCGGCGCCTTTTCTTCAGCAACTCTCTCTCTCTCAACCCGAGTTTCTCTCTCTCACTCACCCATCGTTACCGTTCTCTGTGCTGCTTCTTTACCGTTTTGCTGGCCCTATTCCTCCCAGCCTGTATCCTCACTCACCTGGCCCTTGCCAGACCAGCTTTTTTCTCAGAAGGCGCACGCTGCTGCTCTCCCACCCCCCCGCGTAACCTGATGACGGGCAGACCAGCGATTGTCGGCGGGGAGGCCGGTCCTGAACCGCCGTACCCTCTGCAGATGGAAGGCAAGGTCATTTCTGGGTTTGGCCGCGGCTCCAAAGAGGTATGTGCCGCCATTCCCACCGACCACGCCCATGTACTGACCAAGTTTCCAGCTCGGCATTCCCACGGCCAACCTGCCCGTCGACGCCGCCGTGACGCCCTGGATCGGCGACATCACGTCTGGCGTGTACTTTGGGTACGCGGCGCTGTCGCTGCCGGCGTCGCACCCGGAGCACGCGCCGGCCGCGCCGGCGACGTCCTCCTTCTCCGTCTTCCCCATGGTCATGTCCATCGGGTACAACCCGTTTTACAAGAACACGGTGCGCAGCGCCGAGGTGCACGTGCTGCACAAGTTTTCGCACGACTTTTACGACGCCCACATGCGCCTGCTCATTGCCGGCTTCATCCGCGAGGAAAAGGACTACGAGAGCCTCGAGGCCCTGATTGACGACATCAACGTTGACTGCGACGTCGCCCGCAGCAGTCTGGCGCGCGAGCGCTGGGCGTACGGCGCGCTGCAGGGCGGGGAGTGGCTGACCAAGCCGCTGTAGACGGTCGGAGGCTGCTGCGTCATGAGGGATACGAGTGCATGTGCAAATGGGATGGAGTTTATGGACAGGGTAGACAAAAACCATGTGTAGAGAACACGAGAGTGCGGATACAATATACACGCTTTATAGAACATGCTGTGCGTCATTTACGTTGTCACATTCAAAATCACCGCAGGAAAAAACACGCGAGGATTCATCATATCCAATGTTCGGCGACCCTGGCGCCGAGGGTATCACGGCCTCATGCCCGTCCTCTCTGCCCGCTCTACCCAGACCCAAACGAAAGACCAAAGTGCCCACCCAAAACAAAACCCCGGCAGAAGAAGGAAATAACCAAAACCCCAAAACTGAATCAAGTTAAAACACCTCCCATGCAGTAAAGAAAAACCCAAGTTACACCGTCTCTCCATCTAAACCACACACACTGTCCGCTTACACAGCGAGCTGGTGAGGCTCCTGGTTTGGATAATATCTCGGCAAGAACTAACACTCACGTTAGTACAGAGTCGGCGTTGCTTTCAGGCAGTGTACTCACGTTGATGATAATCATCATCGGAATGTCAAACACGTCACGCTTAATCGTCCAGCAATACGTGCAATCCACCTTGCCATCCTTTTCGATGCGCGAGATGCCATGTTCGCCGTCAATCTTGGTCACGCGGTTGCTCAGGATACTCCCGGCCGTGGCCTTGACGGCACCGCCCCCATTCGTCACCCCTAGGGGCTTGACGTCGCCGACCCCAACCCCCGCGGCGCCACCCGTACGGTACTTCATCAGACGGCAGCTGCGCTGGACCTTGCCGCGCGAATCCTCAAACGCGAGCTGGCCGAAGTCGTGGTAAAAATCGACGACGCTGTCGTCGTCGAGCAGCTCCGCCAGAAACACGGGCTGCTGGGCCTCGCCCGTTCTCCAATTACGCGGAGGTAGCACCTCGCCGCCTTCGCCCCCACCGTACACGTTGCGGTTGGCTTCGTTTCCCAGCAGCACGTCCTTGGTCCAGCCCGTCAGCGCCGTGAATTCCTTGTTCACGGCAGCGACCTCGCCGGACCGGCGACACACAACAGTGGGTGCGCAGCAGTGCTGCAGGAAGTCGTGAAACTCGACGAGCGTGCGCTGGAAGCACTTCTCCATAAATACCAAGTCTTCCCGGGTGAGGTCTTTTGTACAGGCGATAAAAGATGGGCGGATTTCCGCCAAGGACCGCGCGACTTTAATGACCTTGCTGTGGGGAAGACGGTCGCGTAGGACCTGCACCATGTTGTGGAAGCCTTTGGTGTAGGGATACGGCTCCTTGACGGACGTGTAGATGCCGGCGGAGTCACGTTGTCGTTTGCCAAGAATCTGGGCTACCTTGTCTGGTTTTGTCTTGATGCGGGCAGCATGTGCGTTTTGTAGCGCAAAGCTGTTGGGTTTGGGAGATCCCTCGGCATTGTTGGGCGGACTTGTCGTCGCATCAGTGCTTGGACTGGCTAACGACTGCGGTGCCGCAGCAATGGCGTAGGCGTGCGGCAAACCGTGCTGCAGGTTGCCTTGCGTGTACATGCTGGCATTGGCATCCGTGCCGCCGTACTCGCCGCTCAGCATGGTGGCACCGTTGCCGTTGGCGAAAAGCGACGCGTATGCGGGGTCAGTCGACTGCGATATTGAATTATCCCGCGTTGAAGGATCCGCGCCCATACCCATCTTGTTCAGGATGCCAAACTCCCAGCCAGCGTATTGACTGCCAAAGTTCAGGCCTTCTAGGTCAAAGTTGTAGAGAGCAGGATTGCTCGGATCAAATAGCGCACTGAAATCCATCGCACCTCCTCCTAGAATGCCGCCAATTTGAGGCTGCGGACTTGGGAACGGATCCGACGCCGCCGTCGTCTGCGGGTTGAAGGCAAGATTCGGAGACAGCGTCACACCGGCCTGGGCCGTGGACGAATACACGGGATAAGAGGCAGTGCTGGCAGCCGATATGAATGCGCTACCCGGGGTAGAGATGGCAGCTTCTGAAGTTGTCGAGTTCTGTCTGTTGCCGTTGGTCTGAGTGGCGGTCCCGGAGCTTGGGTTGTAGTTTGGTCCCAACACGGGCCGTAGTGCTTCGGCCGGTGCATCATGGAGATACTTGGCCTTTTTGCGGACGCCATCTTGGCAAGCGTCTGCGAGACCGCGCTTGATACATCGTTGACAAGGGCGTTCGTCACCTGCAGGTTACACGTTAAGTTCGGATTCCGACTCGCGCGACTACAGCGGTGCGGGATCGGATACATACCACAAGTCAAGTGCGCCCTCTGGCAGGCAAAGCACGCTCTCCTGGCCTTTTTGCGTCTAGGTCTCGAAGGATCTTTGGGATCGTACTTTTTCTTGGGTTCACCGTTGGTGTCGTCACCTGCGTTGTCTGTCATTTTGATATCGCCGTCTTCCTCGACATCGGATATATGGTCCGAGAGCTCGGTCGTTGAGTCGTCGACGTCGTCGGGCATCTTGGCTGTTTAATAGGGCAATTGGGCTACACAAGACGCAGGTGGTTTGGAGCCAAGGACATAGGACGGGTCGAAGCGATAAGCCACGAGGAGATCCGGGCAAGGATTGCCAAGGTCCTGGCTATCGATACAGCGCTCAGTGGCGTGGACGCAGTGCGACAGAGGCGGGCAACACAAAGGCAGCCGGGTCGGTGAAGAGGTGCGGTGTCGGACGAAACGGGAACTAGGTCCGTCGTCGCTTGCTTGTAGCGAGAAGGACCAGTCGGGCGCGTTGGTCGCAAGCTACCTAGTTTGGTTGCGCCGCGACAATGCGCAAGTCGGACTGGGTCAGACTGCGGTGAAGAACAGCACAAACAGCAGTGCAAGCTCAACGCTGTCGGTTCGTATTGACTGCAGGCAAATCTGAAACCAAGACGAGGGCGAATGGCTGGGTCGTACAGAGACGCCGGAGGCGGGGAGACGGACGCTGCTGTGTGATGTGTCGACTCGGCTAGTGGCAATGCAGCGAGCTGAGATGTGTGTGTGCGACGCGGAGGGAGGTCGGCGACAGGAGAGTGATTGTCGGTCGTCGTCTTCCAGGGCGATGTGCAGGTTCTAATTGACACAGAAAGCTAAGCGGGCTTTGTTAAGAGGAGTGGTTTCCATGAGTACGTGGCGGTATTTGGGTCGGGCAGCATTCGGCGACAGCGGGCACGGCGTATGTGGCAACGCGCAGGGCGAGGCTGCGTAGGATTGACCGTCTCCGGGTTGACGTGGTGTGAGGGGGACAATTGGGTGTGTGTCGCGCGCCTCTCGAGGTTGTATTTTGGGTGCGTGGCTTTCGGCTGAAGTGTGCTGTCGCGCACAAGACGGGGAGCAGTGGGCGTCGACGGGGGATCGAAGGGCGCCTTTTTCACCAAGCGGCACGGGACGCGCAAGGCGAGCGACGTCTTTGGCAGGAAAAAAGGACGGAGAGGCAGAGGCGGGAAGAGGAGAAGACGTCGGAGGAGCTAAATTGGCGCCATGCGAGAATTGCAGCGGTGGTGCAGGGCCATGCGGGCTCGCGTGTGTCGTGAGGACGCCGCAGCGTTTGGTCGGCGAAGGTATTCCGAGTGTGGATTGTAGCCTCGGGGCAAGAGCTGACGAGTTGAAGGGACGGAGGAGCCGGTAGAAAAAAAGGATGAAGAGAGGAGGAAGTGCCACAGGCAAAAGAGAAACACTGGAGACGACTGGATATGGGGAAACAAGAGGAGAGGCAGTTTGGGCAACTAGTGGGAGATGGAATCTGGGAAGACGGTTTTGGAGGGCTGTTCTTGGGATTTGCTCAAGCCGGGGATTTGGATTTTGCCAGCGTTGGTTTGGTTTGGGCTGGTGGAGATGAGGCTGGCCAGGCTGGCTCGGCAGGTGGATGAAGACGCTGAGGAAGACGCTAGCGCTGGTCTAGCAGTGGACTAAGAGCACCTGGATGGGGGCGGGAGGTGCTGGAGGCGCTGGAAGCGGGCACTATGGGCGCTGGAAACGTGCTATATTTTATTAAAGTCGTGGCCGTTGGCGGGCTGAACTGAGCCTCTCTCTCTGTTTCCTTCCATGTCAGCATGCGGGGTTTAACAGGTAACTACCAAGTGGCCGTTTTGCCTACATACATACCTACCTAGGTACCCATTTACCTCTGCCATTCTGCACTCTGCACCCCGTCTTCGCCTCTCTGAAAATTTGCCTCTCGTTACCATTTCCCCAGGCTGGACCATCCTCACTTTTAGTTAGTGGCTACAAAGCTATCCCTCGTTTTTAGTGGCTACAAAGCGCAATGCAGCGGCCGACGTGCTCGTTGCCCCTCCGGCCCAGCGGGTCAACCTTGGAATAGCTCGGTTGTGACTGGCTCGTGACCGGCCTCAGCTTTCAACGCCCAGCTTCGTTCCCCCCGCAGTCCCACTCTTGAGCCAGTCAACCAAGAGAATCTTTTCTGCACGCCACCGCCTGTCGTCCCTCCACCACCACATTCCTCGCAGCGCAGCGTCTGTGTGTGTGCCTTCTCTCGCGTGCAGCTTTTCTGGTTTGCCCTAGCCACCAGCCCAGACGCCAATTGCTCTAGTCGCCGCATCAAAACAAAGGCGATCGCTCATCTTCTCCAACTCGCAAAATGGACCTTCAACGGCGATGCCGGCCCAGGTCGGTGCTGGCCATCCCAGCAGGCGGAGGCATTAATACTGCTGCCCCTCGTCAATAGTTAGAACCCGTCTTGACTGCTTCACCAGAACGCCGCTTGATCGACAGGAATTTCTGCTCACAAGAGACATATGACGAAATAGGCTCTGCACCCCAGCACCACAGACACTAGCACCAGAACCTGCAACACACCCGCAACATATGCCTGCAACAACAAGCCCTCAGCCTCTTCAGGTCTTGGCACCACAGCAGCACCTCCTGCACCTCCTCGGCTCTGACAATTGCGAATTACGATGCGCTACTGCTGCCAATCCGGCCACGGCATCATGAGTCGTTGCCATGTCGCTCCCGCGCTCGGCCTCCCCGGACCACCAAACCAAACGGCCTACACCTCCTTCCACCGAAAGCTCCGGCACACGGACCGCTAATTGACTTTGTCTCCCACAACCATCAGGGCAAACATACCCGACGTCGTTGCAAGCCGAGGCGGCATCCACTCCGGCTTCATGTGGGAGCAAAGGCCGCTCACCCATGCCGCCGTGCCGGCCGGAACTCCACGTACCACGTAGCCGAAATTGCCCGCCAATTGCGAGTTGCTCATCTGACCGTTGGCGAACAAGGGCCAAAAAAAAAGAACGAGACATCACTACCCGTTGTTGCGGTCGCTAGTTGCACTTGTCCGCACTCCTCGTGCGTTGAGCTACATATAGCCTGCAGCTATTCTCTCTCCTCTACTACCGTTGCCTCTGCCGAGCCACAACTCCACATGCTCTGCAACATCACCGTCACCGTTCGCGTCGATCACAAGCCAAATACAGTGGCAGCCGGAATACAAGGTGTATCAGACTTTGATGCATTTTTCTAGTTACAACCTACTAACCCAAACAACCAATAAACTCCCTGAGATGCTAGAAATACCGCTATGTTAGCAGCAATGCCGAAAGCATCACTGCAATTATGAGAACCACCGGGTCATTCCTTCACCCGTTCCGGCGCCCAGGACCCTGCGCTTTGTAATTCTTCATCAACGTCTTGTTGCCGTTGCGCCCCAGCCTCGACAGTTGTTGCCAATTCGCCCGCAGCGCCTGGTTGGCCTGTTTTCGGTAGCGCGCGAGCTCCCGGCGCTGCTCACGGGGTGGCAGGTGCGCCAGCGCCTGTTGGTCGCGCACGCTCAGCTGTGCCATCTGCCTCGCCGCCTTCTTCGTCAAGCCCATATTCGCGCCGTCCAGCATGACCTGCCGCTGCTCATCGCTGCCGCGGATCGCCAACGCCGTCTCTGCCTCCTTGAGCTGCCCTCGCTCCAGCCTCTTGCGACGAGTGCCTCCATTGCCGGCACCGCTCGGCGCGCCGTCAGCGCCGCGCTGCGCGATGAGCTTGCCCGACGCCAGCTGCATGGTGCCCTCGTCTGGCCCTGCGAGCCCCGACACCAGCCGCGCGTCTAGCGCCGACACGTCGTAGAACTCGCGCATTTCCGGATTGGCCATGTCGAAGTGGCAGTGGCCCTTGCTCTGCATGTGCTGCTGCGCTGCCGCCGCCGACCGTCGCCGGCTGCCGCACGCGATGCACTCGTGGTATGTGTAGATGACGAGCTGCAGGTACCACACCAGCGTCTCCAGCTCCACGGCCAGCTCCGCCTGGTACGGCACTACGAAGCTGTGCGTGCTCGCCATGTGAATAAGGTTCGCGTCCAGGTCTGCTGACTGCACGTCGCAAAAGAGACACTGCTCGGCGACGAAGCCCGGGTGTGCGATGCACCTGCTCGGCTCCGCGTCGGAATCGGAATCGCTCGACGGCGGGTAGGACAGGCTGCTATCCGAGTCCGAGTCGCTCGCGCTATGAATCTCGGCACCCGACAGCGCGGCGCTGTCCGAGTCCGAGTCGCTCGCGGTGCGAATCTCGGCACCCGACTGCGCGGCTCTTCGCCGCAGATTGGCGACACTGTGCTGGTTAGCATTGGCTGCTGCCGGCAGATGGCCAGGTAAAACGTACTGTTCTGGTGATTTGGCGTGTACGCGGAATGCGCCCACTGTATCAAAGGTGAGGCTGCAGGTGCTGCAGGTGCTGCAGGTTCCAGTCGTTCCCGTCATGGTGGAAATTGGATAATCGTGAGTAATACGACAAGAAAAGAGGTGTAGGAGTCTGAATTGTGTGTTTTTTTTTTGGTAGGTTATCCAGTCGAGAAACTACACCATGTTGCGGCGGGTGCCTTGATTTATATACATTTGCCCATTTGAGTATTTTTTTTCGCTTACACCTCTAGCGGCTCGATACTTTACCAACATGCAAACCTTGGTCCGCTAGGTTTTCCTGTTAAGCACCTACATACTTCCCAAGCTAGATAGTTTGGGGCAAGAAACAAAAGCCTTTCCGTCTGAGAAAAGCAAAAACCCCTGGCAGCCCCTAGAAGTGAGTCACTCTACGGTGTCTGAGAATTTACCAAGTTACTACATCACCCTCTTTAGCGGCATTGACTCAGAGGCTAACCCCGCACTTTCGTGACTAAACTGCCATTGTTTTCCGCGAACCAAGCAATTTGGGGAACTTTAATTGTCAAGGATGAACATTTTAAATCGCGGCCTTCTGGTTAGCTAGAAGGATGCGAGTCTTGTAATTTTTATTTTATTATGTAAATCAAGTATGAACTGTGGCTTGCGGCGCAGCTCGTTCCGGTAGGAGCAACCGCGGCGTTTTGGCTTACACATTTTGCAAAGTACGAGGGACCAGTCATCAAACAAGGCAATTCCAATATTATGCAAAGTAGTTACGGGAAATGCAGCATTCCCTTCTCATAGCACGTACTCAATCTTGAACGTCCAGACATATCTATCCCCGTCCACCACGCTCTGCGGGAGCTCCAGCGTCAAGGTCCCCAGCCCTTGCCAGCGCACGCCCAGCTCAGTCCCGTCCGCCGCGCCGCCGAGCGCCGTGACGCGATCCCCCGGCAAGTACGGCACCTCATCCGGAACTGCCACTTCACTGGCCGGCCTCCCCACGTGATGAATATAAAACGCGTCCGCCGTGGCCGTGTACCGAAACGGGTCCGCGCCGGCCGTCACGGCCCAGTACGTGGTGTCGAAGATGGCCTCGGCGTGGGCGCGGATCCAGGCGCCGGCGTCGCGCAGGTTGGTCTGCATGATGGACGGGATGGCGCCGTCGCCGCGGGGCCCAATGTCGAGGAGGAAGTTGCCATTGCTGGCGACAATGTCGACGAGGGAGCGGACAATGGCCTCGCCCGTCATGTACTGGGCGGCGGGCGTGACGTGGTTGTAGCCGTACGAGTAGGGGTCCATGCCCCGGCTCGACTCCCACTTTCGGTCTAGAGGATGCGTCGGATTGGGGTCATATCTGGCGCAAAACATGTTAGCGGCAACCTTTTGGTTGTGAAGCTTGGTTTCGGGGGGGGGCGGTCGACATACTCGGGCGTGTCAAAGTCGCCTCGGAGGCCGCAGCGCGAGTTGAACGACACCTGCCGCCCGCTCTTGCGCGCCCAGTTGATCCAGCGGGCCATGACACCCGCCGACGCATTCGGGCCGCCAATGTCGCACCACAAAATCTCGGTGCCGTAGTCGTACGCGAGCGCCTCCATCTGCGGCACCTGCACGTCCGTCACGAAATCGCCCACCTCGACGTGCCCCGTGTAGTTCAGCACCTGCCCCGTGTAGGGATTTGTCGGGGGCCCGCCGGCAAAGCTGCCGCCGTGCCGGTACTGCGGGTTGTACCACTCGGGCAGGCTGAAATAGGTGCCGCGGCGCAGGTGCGGCTGGTGCTGCCGGGCGGCGGCAAAGAGCTCGCCTAGAAAGTCGCGTCGAGGGCCGTAGTGCACGGTGGAGCGCCGGCTGATGGACGTGGAAAAGTTGAAGAGGGCGAAGCCGTCGTGGTGCTCTGGGAGTGTGTGAGTGCCGGTTCTGGGAGGTTGGTAGTACATCGGGGCAACGCAACGTACTGGTGGTGGGAACAAAGTATTGGGCACCGGCATCGGCAAAGAGATCAACCCATTCCTTGGGGTTGAAGTTCTCGCCAGTAAAGTTGGCGGCAAAGTCGTCGTAGTTGAGGTCCTTGCCGTACGTCTTCAAGTGGTACTGATACGTCTGCGTCTTGTCATTTGGGTTATGCTGCCACTTCCAGTACCTGCACACCTGTCAACCGCGTCCTCTTTTCAGAAACAAAAAACCAAACACTCACCACTCGGCGTAATTCTCATTCTTGCCCGTGTTGCCGTACGCTGGCACTGAGTACAAGCCCCAGTGGATAAAGATGCCATACTTGATCTTGTCAAACCAGTCAGGCGTGCGGTGCGCGAGCAAGCTCTCCGCCGTACTTTCATAATCAGCAATGCCGCAAAATCCCGCGAGTGCCACATCCGCCGTCTGCGAGCCGGCGATGGCCGTGACTTTGCCGTGGCACGACGCACCGGCCTTGACGCCGGCCTTGTTCCGGACGCCGACCTGCACCAGCGCCCGCTGGCCCGGGGCGAGGCGCACGACGGTACCGGGACGGACCGTGTCCAGAGACGGCGAGGCGATTGTCACCGTGAGGTTATGGCTCTTTGTGAGGAACTGCGTCTTGTGCGTGTTGAGCACAAAGAGCTCAATGATCTGGACAAAGTCGCTGCCGTCGAACCACTTGGTGGTGAGGTTGGGGCTGATGACGCTGATAGTGGGCGCATCGTCGCCTGGAGAATGGTCAGTACTCGCAAGAGAACGGGGAATGGGCAACCGACTGAGCCAGGCAATTTGCACGTCGTCTGTGCTGAGCAGGCCTGAGGCGGCCGAGGCTGCCACGGTGAGAGCAGCGAGCCAATGCATCATAGCAACCATTGCGGACTGGCGATTGATTTCTGTTCGTGTGAGATGCAAGGGAGACGATGCATCCTTTAAATACGAGTCCGCCCAAGCGAGCTCAAGGCATCTCCAATTGACCTTCCTGATCTGAACGCTGCGCTACGACGCTGGGTGCGCAAGACCGGGGTCAAAAAGTCTCCCGTCGGGTATTTTACCCCCGCTGTTCAAAGCTAGCGCAATGAAATTATGCATCTGGTACTTGAGTGCGGGGGTAGCATTTTGTTTCGATCGCCGGACTTGTGTCGGAGGATCTACACGATGATGAGAACAGCCGGACAAAGGGCCTCGGGTTATTGGCGTCAGGATGGCCCATGGTACGGGGCTCGATACCACCCTTTAAGCCTTTTCCCCGCCGCTTCTTTGACGTCAAGACAAGAAGCTGACGGATGCCCGTCTAACTCTGAGCTGATTGTTGTCGGATGTAACCTTTCCATGCAGCAGACCAAATCTGTCGTGTTATTTTGCAGTGATCCCCAAGGTTACCCCTCGAGTAGAGTCATCCAATCATCATTCCAATCTATGTACTATTCAAAAAGAGTCCATATCGATGTGCCGTTATATACATGCCCCCAGCTCCTCATTACTCGGGCGGAACATCCACGCCGTGCGTGCGCACGTACTCAATCATCTTGTCGTAGTTGCGGCACTTGTGGTGGACGTTAAAGTCGAGCTGCAGGCCCGTCGGGCGCATGGGGTTGTCCTCGGCCAGGACGGGCGTGACGTCGGCGTAGCACATGAAGCTGAGACGCAGCGACTCGAGGCAGTGGTCGACGTGCATGCGGCCGGCCAGCTCGTCGGTGAGGAACCACGGGTACGAGTGCCAGCTCTCGTTGAACATGCGCAGCGGCCATGTCGCTTGGCGGATGAGGCTCTGAGGAAGAGAGAGAAGAGGGTCAGCGGATGGTAGGAACAAGGGGAGCGCAGGTACACATACGAGGCAGTGGAGCTGGTGAAAGACTTCGAGGGTGCCGGCGTACGTCGGATTCTTGGGATCGCTCCCTTCAATCTCGGTGAATTGAACGCCGGCACGGGTCTTGTTCAGTTTGGCAATCTCATCCATGCTTAGCCCAACACCGGGCTCTGCGAAGGCTCAAGGTCAGCACATCGCAAACGCGGCGACACATCATGTACACGTACGATACCAAAGCTCCTCCCAGGCCGTCTCAAGTTCGAGCGTCGGCGGTCCTCTGTACTTGGACGTCTGGTTAAAGGCGTTTTGAAAGTCACCCTCCCAATGCTCTACGCCTCCGTTAAACACCGGCGCTATCACCACAGTCAGTCTCCCAACACATCTCACAGCGCAACGGGGCCAACAACTCACAGTACGGCGAGGTCATCCGGTCACACTCGAGCAGTGACGGCTTGGCGAGCCAGGAAATAGCCGCCAAGCACATCGAGACGAGAAACACGAGGACATTGCCAATCATCAAGACCCGAAAGCGCTTCTGCTTGTGCGCCAGCCGGGCCTCGCGACGGGTCAGGTCAGCGTCCCAGTCGCCGCTGCTGTCGTGGTCGGCAGCGTCGACGGGGTGGTAGCCCTTGGCGGATGGCATGGCTGGCTACGGTCGTGCGGTGCTGGTCTGGAGAGGGGGGGACGCTGCGAGAGCGCGTTGTCGTTTGCGGTTGGAGATGGGATGGTTCTGCGAGGGGTCAGTTGGAAAGGTGGTGCCACTGCGTTTCTGATGGCGGGCGGGTGGCGGATTCCGGGCTGGTAATGCAGTGGAGCGGAATCAAGGCGGGAGACAAAAGTTCTGTGCGATTTTCACACCCTATAAATCTACTAATATAGCCCTGGAATATTTTTACAAATTTGATTAGATAAATCACTACTTAAAATACCAAGTAATCATTTTCTGTAGGTAGATGTCCGTAATGGTCCGCCCCCGTAACTTGTACTGCTGTTGTTGAATTGCTACCGGATCCTATAAGTTCAACTCCTCGTACTCCGTACACCCACACTAGATAAGATTTCGCTAATGAACGGTAAATATAATCCAGATTCCTGCTCGGCCAGCGAGGAGGATACGACTTAGACATGATTCTAAAAAAAAGAGAGACCAGTCAACACGAAAATTGATGCGCTATTTGGCCAAAGGGAGGACTTCGCCAAGGTTGTAGGCCAGAAGCGTCAGGAAGCGGGGGTCAATCGAGCCATCTTGATTGCGGAAGCCATCGCGAAAGCTCTGAGCGGGCGAGACACGAATGTCCACGCCACGCGTCTTGAAATTGACCAGGCCCTGCACGATGCGGACCTCCCAATTGAAGAAGGAAACAACCGTCACCTGTCCAAGGTTGTCAGCCAAACAGACAAACAAGCAAGCAGCCTGAGCAGGCCGGGTCGTGTAGGTGGTGGAACTCACGCCAAAGTAGTCGAGGTCCTTGTAGGCAGCCTTGAGCTTGTTGGCGGCCGCGATAAAGACAATGGACTTGAACTCGCTAGTTCGGAGCGTACCCGGCTTCCACGGCGTCGAGTCGATGACATGGTGGATGACATGTGGCTTGCGGGGATCGGGAAGCGTCTCGCGAGGCTTGGAGGGTAGTAGATTTAAAAAGAAGGAGCCAGGTGTCCAAGTGTAGTCATCGTGGTAGTTGTGTAGGTAACGATCGGTACCCTCGCCGCTGCAAGGAAAGACATGGTTAGTTGAAATGGAAGTGCAAGGGAAAAGGGGGAGGTGGGAGGGGGGAGGAGAGGCAGGAAAGGCGACAGAAGCAACGTACCCGCCCCATTGCCAGCAAGTTCTGTCTTGCAGAGTGTCGTGAGAGCGCGGGTCCTGGTTATTCTGCAAATAAGCTGCAACAATATTTGCGAGGAAGTAGCCGTTGTGATGGCAACGGGACGGACTTGTCCCGTCCCCCGCTTCATAATCATACTTGTCCTGCGCGATCCAGGGCTTTAGCTCGTCAAGAGCGCGCCTCAGCGCTTCCCTGTCCATTAGACCAAGAAGGGCGGGAGCGCCGTTGCGCGGCGCACCAGTATCAAAGTCGAGGGGCACGACGGTGGCACGGTACTCGATTAGGATCGATTCAGGAATGCTGGGTTCCTTAAAGGCTAAGAGCGGGTGGAGGGTTTTCTGTAGGAATAGCCTCACATCGACATTGGCGGGCTTTGACTGTACCGCGTCGTTTGATTCGTTTGATTTGTACATGTCCAAATCGTGTCAATGATGCTGAAGGACGCGATGCAAAGGGAACAAATGGTGTAGTATGAAGTGGTGTAGTACGAAGGGAGTGTGTGAGTGTGTGGTTTGAACGACTTGCTACACGGGGTTATTAAATTAAGTAGAACTAGCACTATAGTCTATACTAATATAGCTTTCTAGTAATAGTAATTATTAAAGTATAAGTTCTAGTGTCGTCTTGTTGTATCCGTAGATGATGCAAGCAACAAGTCAACAAGTGCGAGTAAACAAACAGGTCAGCCAGCCAGGGGTACTACCTACACTCTCTTGCTACATCAACACCACCTTTTTGAAAGTTAGGGAGGTAGGCATAGAAGCATAGTGCCAACGTATCTTTTGTTTCTTAAAGGGATTTAGAGAGTTTACCTTCTATATCTACTACAATATAGCAGCGTATTCTACCTTACGTTAGTAGGGGCGTGATCTACCACATTAACGGCAGCGGAGATTAGCACCGAGAGACAATAGTTATGTTATCTACTACGTTATAGTAGCGCTTTAATTAGGTAGTAAGATATCTCCTACTAATAGTGGCGTTTTTGTATATATTCTTTAAAATAGAAGTATATATTAACTAGAAATATAGAGCTATATTAAGTAGGTAATAATATCGGGTTTTTCCCCTTTTTTTCCCCTATATCTTTATAGATTAAAAAATATAAAGGTATTAAATAATAATAATAATTTTTATATACTAATTAGGCTAAATAACCTATCTAGTACCTCTACTAATAATAGGGTAAGGAAAAACTAGAGTACCTAAGGGAAAACCTTAACCATATTTGCGGGATTCTATATAGTCTTAATCTAGAGTATATAGGGGTCTAGTAAGACCCCTCTTGATGCCTTATGCCGGGTTTTTATCCACGTCCCGGCGCCGTGTCTGGCCTATGCCTCTCCGGCCAGCCAAGCCTGATTATCCTCCCCCTAGTATATAAATATAGTATAATATAATATAATAAATTTATATTATTTTAATAATACTTTAATAATCTTTTAATACCTCTTTAATAATTTAATAAGATATAGTATTATTTTAAATAAATTTATAAAATTTATAAAACGAAAAAAGAATAGGTAATATACTAAGGAGATAAACACTTACTAGAGTATAAGGCTAGAAAAACTTTTCTCTACACTCTAATAAGGTAAGCCTTAATATCGCCTTATCTATAACCTTATATACTAGGTAGTTAAAACTTACTACGGCCCCTATCGGTACTTACAAACGCAACACGCTCCCCAGCTTGCGAAAGACGGCATACGCATCGCTCCGAAAGTCATCCGTCAGATAGTCGTTGCTGAACTGCGTCTTGAACCACATGAGCGTCCGTTTCTCCTTCCACATCGGCCAGTGAGAATACCCGCCCTTTCCCTTATTCGGATCCAAGTCGTATATAAAGTTGAAGTAGTAGCGGCGGCAGCTCAGCGTCGCGTGCGTCGTCGGCACGCCGTAAAAGACCTGCACGAGATCCGAGGCGTGGAACGTCCCGAGCACGGGGAGACCAAACGCGTACGAGGACAGATAGGACCACGTGGGCACGTCCGGATTGGCGTGCGTCGCCAGCTCGAGAAATTGGCGCCGCGGGAGCGTAAAGACCAGGTCGCCAATCATGGCCGCGATGCGCTTGAAGTTGGGATACAGGACATTCAGCGAGCCCGTGCGGAAAGGGCTCCCGTCAAAGTCGCTGGGGTACATATCCACAAGCGACCGCAGCTGGTCCTTGGTTGCGTTTTGAAAGTACAGCGTCGAGAAGTAGTCGACCAGATCATCGTCCGTCTTGATGCTCTGCTGGAACAGCGAGAACAGCGTCCCCTCGTCCTCCTGGTCGCCGTTGATGAGCGGCACGGCATGGTACCGTCCAGCCGCTACGAGATCCTCTGCGCTTGCCGGCAGCACGTTTCCGTCCGGCCGCGGCAGATACGATAGCGCAGTCGAGCTAAAAGAGAGCCAGCTCGGCACAGACGTGGCCGCCTCGTAAAATGCGCCGTAGTCGAGCGACCGGAGGCACGCCAGGGTATCGTCCGCACCGGCGCAGCCAGCGGCTCGGACAACAGCGTTGTACACAGCCTGACCCTTGGGACAGTCTATGGCATCGGCCGGCATGAAGCTCCCAGAGTCCATGAGGGCACCGCGGAAGAGAGGCTTTCCCTTGTACGTCGCGCTGCCGCCAAACAGGACCATTTGATGGGCGACGGAGAAGGAACCTGCCGACTCTCCCCAGAGCGTCACTTTGTCCGGATCGCCGCCAAAGTACGCCACATTGTCCGCCACCCACTCGAGCGCCATCCTCTGGTCGAGCAATCCCGCATTCGCGCTTCCGTCCCTGTGAATTTCCGCGCCGGGCAGGAACCCGAAGCCGCCCACGCGGTAGTTGACGGCCACGTAGACAAACGGCATGCCATCGCCGACCGCGGCTGCCAGAAGGGACGTCGCGTCGTACGTGTTGCTGCCGCCGAGCTCGAAGCCGCCCCCAAAGATCCAGAACAGCACGGGAAGCTTCGTGTCGGGCCGCGTGCCGGCCGGGCGCTGCACCGAGACGGTCAGGCAGTCCTCCTGGCCGCGGAGCACGTCCCTGAGCACGGGCAGGTCGATGAGGCTGCTCGCGATTCTCCCCAGCGCCGTCTTGGTGGCGTTGGAGATGAGCATTTGTGGGCAGGACGGGGCGATGCCCGTGGCGTCGACGGGCTCCAGCTTCCGAGAGATCTTTTGCGGGGGCTTGAAGCGTAGCGGTCCCACAGGGGGATCGGCGTAGGGGATGCCGTTGAAGGTTTCAATGCCCTGACCGGAACGACCAATGACTGTTGTGCCAGAGGCCAACTCCACTGAAATCTTCTGGGTGGCGCGGGCTCAGGGCGAGCGTGTACGGCAGCCTATAGGTGAGTGTTGTCGCCAAATCCCAATTCACACCTAGTGTGTGGTTAGATATGAAATAATGCGTACGTAAGTGGGCCGTTATGTTTTTTAGATACATATTATCCTTATAGCCAGTTAGCAGCTACCAAGCCAGCCAGCCAGCCAGCCAGCCAGCCAGCCAGCCAGCAAGCCAGCAAGTAAGTAAGCCAGCTAGGTAGCTAGCCAGCGAGGAAGCCAGCGAGGAAGCCAACGAGGAAGCCAACGAGG